AGGCGTGTTGTGATGCCGTCCACACCAGGGGTCGTTGTCTTTGTTAAGGTGGCCGTCTTCACTTCTTCTCCGCTAACATTGTCCTGCCAAGTAATCGCTCGCCTGGGACGACGGGTACGTCAAACGGGTCACCCGGTGCGTCATCTTCCGCACTAAACCTGTCGAGAAGGGCTCCCGGAGCGCTTGGCCTTTTCGTTAGTATCCTCGATCGTCTGGTTGTCCACAATCAATGGGGGTGCTCTGGTCAGTGGCTCGCCTTCCGCCAACCCATGACTGATAGAGGTCCCGGTCTGAAGCGACTCCATCGATCTTTCCGGCCCAGTATGCTCGCTTAGCCTTCCTCACATGCTCAGGAATGCCTTCCGTCTTCCATTGGAGAAGGATTGCGTTCTGCTCCGTCTCCCAGGCTTGTGGTTGCGGGCAGCACGGTAGTTCTGTGGGCCTCTGCGCATTCCTCCGTCCACCAAGCCGCGCCTTTCCCTGTTTTCCTCTCTTCTTGCCGACCGCCTCAATGGCTCGGGAGAAGAGCTCGACGATGTGACTTGCCTGCCCGTCCAGGTCTGCCGGAGTAGGTTGATCCCCCAGATTGGGCATCGCAGCTAGCCCCCCTTCGATCAGGTCTCTCAGCCGAGGCAGCGCCGAGTCGGGCACTGACAGTGGCCGTGGCTGCGGGTGGCCCTCTCCCTGTGACACTGGGCGTTTGAATAGTGGTATGACGGCCACGATGGCCTCGTGGTCAGCTCCCGGGTGTAACTGTGGGCTGACCTGCGCGTGCGCAAAAGGGATATTAGAGAAAGCCAGGTCCAGGACATGTCCGCAATCCTGGGTTGCCACCCCAACTTCGCTGATAAGAGAGAGATTGTGGCCGTCTGCCCAGCCTGCGATGTCATCTCCCCGGTTCCCGTTCCTCGTCCCGGGCTCCCAAGAGTAGTGATGCGCGTTGAAGTCACCCGCGATCAAAGCTCGCTCCGGGGGTTTGAGTTCTAGCAGTATCCCTGTTGTGCGGCTGTGGGGGTCGCGGGGTTGTCTGTACACGTTGACGATAGTCGTCGTTTTGTCGACCACCAGCCACAGTACGTCTCTCGTGTGGACAGGCCTCTGCTGCTCCACCGTCATCCCTATCCCTTTGCGTGTGTAGGTCAATACTCTTGGTCTGGTTCCTTCGCTGTCCCAGAAGTCGACCGGGACGAAAGAGTCGAAACCCGGGTGCGTGTTCAGTTGCACGTTTCCGTCCTTCCAGCCCGTCCAGGGTTCCTGGACGAGGACCACATCTATCTGAGCCTCCCAGCAGAGCTGCAGGAAAGCCGTGTGCGCCGGGGAGATCTTTCCGACGTTGCCCTGCGCAACGCGTAGCATCCGTGGGGTCGCCGCTCTCGGCTTACGTCTCCGAGTCGAGTTCGAGGTGGGTGTAGGCATTCGCGACGTTGTAGTTTGGCTTCTGTGCTGCCCGTTGGCTCCTGCTTGGCATGGGTAGCACGGGACGGTCGATGGAGGTGTTGTCGGGGGAGTCTTCGCCTTCGCCTTCGTCCGCCTCGTCTTCATCCATGCTGCTGCTGTCAGTGCTTCCGTCACCGAGGCAAACGATCGAGCTTGCGGAGGGCGTTCTCGTGCGCGCGCGCTTGGCGCCGGGTTGCTGGTTCTGGCTGGTGGAGGTAGGGACGCCTGCCGCCTCCTGGCTACTGTCGGATCGAGTAGCCTTGTACAGAGTGTCCGATGCTTTCTGGCCGGCCTTCCGGATCCGAGCCCGCTCCTTTCGACCGGGAAGGGAGACGACGCCGTTTACGGCCGAGGGCCTCGCTGGGCAGTCTGTGTGGCTGGCTTGGAAGGGGCCGCAGCAGTTGGCACATTGGGGCCTGGCCATGCAGGGTCCCGTTTCGTGTGAATCGGAAGGTCTTCCGCAGTTGCTGCAGATCGGTCGTCGTCCGCAGAACCGGTTGGAGTGGTAGCCCTGGCAGCCGGGGTCGTGTCGGATGAGCGTCCTTCGTTTCTTGACGGGCAGAGATCTGCCGCTTTGGTTGAAGAGCCTGAAGGGCGTGACCTCTGATGTGAATGATATGAGCCAAGATATTTCGTTCGTGACTGGGTTGGGCCCAAGGCGGGACGGTCGAGCAAGGACAGGCTTCTGTCCTGTCTGTGCGAAGACCTCATCTTCAACGAGTGTGGCTGGGTCCAGGACGTCCCCGCCAATGCTGTGTAGTTTTGTTGGGCATCGCGGCACAACGTAAGTGTACCACTTGATAGGCGTCTCGACCTGGTGGGCGCCGAGGCATTCCGCCAGCTTTGCCTTACTTGCAAGTAGTCTTTCCTGTATTTGCTTGTTTCGCGGCTTCAGAGAGTAACCTGTGCTGATATGGTAGACGTGGGGAAGGTCCGCTAGCCCCAGGCCAACGGCCTTACAGACGATCTGTCGTACGGCGAACGGTGCGATCTTCCGAGCGGCCGCTAAGCTTTCTTCCGGGACGCGGGCAAAGATGCGGAGGTCCTCCTTCGGCTGCGCCTGCGGCTGATCCTCGGCGGGGAGTGTGGCCTTCGGGCGGGCAGAGCTCTGGCAGCTCTGGCCGCTCCGGGTCGCCGCAGTGGTGTTGCCCGCCATCGGTGCGACGACAGCCGCCCAACTCCGGGCCGCTATTGGGCTTGTCTCGTGATTGATCAGTCTCTTGAGGGTTTGAATGACATAGGCAGTGGCTTCTTTCGCGATCTGCTTTCTAGAACCGTCAAAGCTGGCGACAACGCTGTCGACGGACCGTGCAATGGTCAGAAAGACGTCTTTCCGTGCCTCGTACTGTCTAGCTTCTTCTGCAAGGGCTGTCAAGACGGACCCTGTGGCAGATCCGCTCGGAGCAGATGCGGTAGAGGCTGCGGGCCCCTCGGCCGAGGTAGGGGCGTCGGTGGTGGCATCAAGCTGGCTTCCCGTTAGGCTGGGCCGGGTCGGCTGTGCCTCGGCGTCGCGGCGTCGCTTAGCTCTTGAGGTGGGGTTCGGCTCCGGAGGTGTCCCGGAGCCTGATTCGGGGTCGGCTTGGTCGGCCGACATCAGTCCGGTGCCCGACGGCGGCTGTGAGGCCATCGCGGATGCGGGCTCCGGCAAGGGGAGGTGAAGAGTTTTCGGCTGTTAGTAATTTGGTGGTAGGCTCACTCATTCACTAACAGCAGATGCCAAGAAAAATTAGGCGAGAGGGAAGTTGTGGGGTATCCTTTAGTATGGGCGTTTGCATTTCCTCTCGCCGTGCTGTTGGCAATATGCGTTATCTGGACGACTTTCCTCTCACCATTATGGGAGGAGACGCTGTCTGCAAAGTCCGACAGAGACGATATGATGTAAGGTTCCCATCTTCAATGTAGCCTTGGAAGCTGACACCCACCAGGGGGTATTTGGAAAGTATCTCTAAGATCCAAGCATCCAACAAGAGGTAAGAAATCATCTCTGCAAGAAGGATCCGTTCTCACAAAATAGCGAGTTTCCGATCAATCTCCACGAGGTCTTAGGGGCGCTTCAACCACCGAAATCGTTAGGCTTGACCGAAACGGAGTTGAGTAATCTGTCTATGGAATCCTTTACCGGCAGAGTCAAGACGCGCCGGAACGAACTTCAACAGGCCTATATTGCGTCACAAGTGAAACGATATCATGCATTTATTGGTTGGACAACCTCCCAACTATTCGTCGGGATTCTAGCATTCGTCTCAGTATTGCGTCACGATACTGAGGCCGTGGTTCTTTGCGGGCGGCTCGGGCATCAGGTCTCGTCGCTGGATGACGGATGCGAAAAGATTGCCCAGAGCTTTCCCAAAGCTCTTCAGATTCTAAAGGCAATGGAGGATGCCGGAGGAATCTGGCTACGTCTAAGAGAGGGGAGTGATCAGGCGAATAACGCATTGTTTGACGCCCTGCGTTTGGGGAGGGTGAGTTCGAATAACAGTGGTATTCAGATCGAAAAGGTGAGAGGATCTAGAGAAAACATTTCGAGGGCTATACTGACCAAAGATACCTCAGGTCCATCTAAGGAATAACTCTTCCCCCACTTACGGCACGGTCAACCACTCTGCTGAATGGGCATAAGAGACGGCTAGAAGCAGGCAACGTAGGGTTCAGTAAAGATACGGATATGACAGTCACCTAGCATGTAATCAAAGCCCTGACTACTGCGATCAATGCAAGTTATCTTCGACAGATTGATGGGGTTTCGTTGAGTGCTGCATTTCATGCATGCCTCAGTAAGACGGCGAGACAGACTATGTTGCAACGTATAATGCCCTGAGGCTTCATCGCCGTCTACAATCTGTCGTAACAAACTATCCACATCGAGATAGACATTCGGCTTGATGGGGTAGTCTAAAAGGACTTCCGCTGGGTGTGTACAGAGTGTATACCTAGGCGACCGGCATAGCTAGGTCAAAGGAGAAGCGGAGCCCATGCAAGCTAGCTTAAGTGCAGAAGCGGAGCCCATGCGGGTAGGCTTAAGTGCAGAAGCGGAACCCATGCGGGTAGGCTTAAGTGCAGAAGCGGAGCCCATGCGGGTAGGCTTAAGTGCAGAAGCGGAGCCCATGCGGGTAGGTTTAAGTGCAGAAGCGGAGCCTATGCGGGTAGGCTTAAGTGCAGAAGCGGAGCCCATGCAAGCTAGCTAACCTTACAGTTATAGAGGGGAGGATGTGCTTGAAGTAGCTTGTAGGTGTAGGTAGATAGAGTGTGATACAGGCCTATATACCATGTCGTAGTTGAGATGGAGGGAGTCAAGGTCGGATCAGGTCATACGCGGTCTCGCTTCACCTGGGTTACAAGGGTAGGTCGAGTGCATTGAACGTGGGAAGATACCAAGTTCAAGGACAAGTCAAACAGTTTTTGAAGGCTATGTATGCGATCGAAAGTGGGACGTTGGCCTGCACTCAATCACAGAACGTGGTGCAGATTCCATCTGAATAAAGGGGTGACGTCATCTACCTAAGTAGGTCAAATACAGATGCCGCTGAACACCTACAAGGCCAGCACAAAACCCAATGTTGACGCGACGAGCTCCAATTTGGTATGTTGTATCCCAGTATATAAGGGCTCCAGCCTTCAGACCAGCATTTAACGACGCCCCCGACAGCTGCCATCGAGCGTTTCACCTGCAAAACAATCACTTTTCCAAATTCTTGCTTACCGATTCATTATGTCAAACCTGGTGATTCGTTCTCTTGAGAGAAATGAGAGTTGGTCGAAAGCACAGGCAAAGGCACGCGCGGCCACCTGTATCATCCATGTCTCTAATCCTGATTCGTTTGTGTCCATCGGGGCTTCAATCAGTCAAGGCACTGGCACACTTGTTGATGCATCGCGCGGCATTGTTCTTACGTGCAGCCGCGTCATAGGTAACGGCCCTTCCTTGGGTCATGCCGTGTTTGGAACAAAGGAGGTTAGTCACTACTTCCAAGACTAATGAGCGAAGCTGCTAAACTCCCGATGCAGTATCGTATCGAGCGATTATACAGTGATCCGGTCCACGACTTCACCTTTGTCAAGCTGCTTACCAAGAATGGACAAATACCCGAAGACCTTCCGGAGGGCATTAATCTACACCCTGAGCAAGCCTACCAAGGGTGCAAGATCTGCACCGTCAGTAACCCTGGAGGTCAAGAGAGCAATATTGGGCAGGGTTATATCTCCCGCACCAACTCTAATGTCCGCGAATGGGACTTCGACGAATGCAACACGGAGCTGATGACGGCCGCGATGAATTGCGAAGGAGGCTCTATTGGCTGCTCGGCCATCAACATCCAGGGCAACGGTCTTGGGATCATGATCGGCTTTGAGGGCACTGTCATCAATCTATTGCCAGTTGATTTACCGCGGAAAGCCCTTGAGCGTCTTCAGGATGACGCGCCTGTCAACCGAGGAACTCTTCAGGTCAAGTGGGAACTCAAGCCACTTTATGAGTGTGATAGACTCCAGCTTGGCCAGGAGTGGTTGTCTCGCTTTGAAGATGAAGGGGTGGAGTACCTGGTTTGTGCAAAGGTGGTTCTACCTCAAGGGCCAGCTGATGGGAAAGTTAAACCAGGACACATTCTTCTCCAACTCGACGACAAGCTTGTTACAAGTCTACTCCAGGTGGATCTGTATATGGACGCTCATATCAACGAAAAAGTCGGATTGACATTATGGAATGGAAGCAGCTCAAATGACGTTGAGTGTTGCATTGAAGATCTCCACAATCTCACACCCCATCACTTGATTGCACGGCAAGGGACGGTTTTTTTCAACATGGATTTGCTCACCGCCTTTGAATTCAACATTCCTGTGAAGGGGGTGATATCATCCGCAACTTTTCAGCCTCCTTTTGTTGGGCCAAGCCTGATCGAATCTATCCAGGGCACAGCTTTTTCGAGCTCGGAGGCGATGGCTACTGTATTCGAGGCGAATCATAAGCACCGCTTTATCACCATCTGCTTTAAAAACATCTGTAGCCACAGCTTGTCGACACCCCGCACCGGATACCAACTCACCATAATGGACAAGCCATGGTTTGAGATGAGGAGGCACCCTCAGCAGGGTGGCCCTTGGGTGATAACATCAATGACACGCCCAACAATCATTCAGCGACCGCTCTCTCACCTACAAAATTGTGAAGCAAGTGTGCCGCAGCCGTTGCTACCAGACAACGACAAACCCAATACCGGCGTCAAGGAGATCTTCCGTGCCACGTTTTCTTTTAGGGCGAATAGGAATATCTTTTCTGATGGCAACTGCGACAACAACCATCTTGGTTTCGGCCTGGTGTGCGACGTCAAACAGGGGCTCGCTGTGGTGCGTCGTGGGACGTTCAGTATGTTCGATGAGGTCACAATCACGATCAATGGCAGAATCAATATCTCGGCTAGCGTTGGTTTCTTGCACCCGGCACTAGACTTAGCTGTGCTGAAGTTCGACCCAGTCGGAATTGCAAACGCTTTTATGTCCGACCCTACTCTTACCGACAACCCGCTTCGACAAGGAGATACTGTATATCATGCCCCTTTCGGTCTCTCTGGCAACATCATCAACGAGACGCAAGTTGAGAATATTGATGAAGACTCGGCATATCGCTTCCACGATGACACGTCACCGTTCACCGCCTTCTCCTGCACGACCTGTCATCTTCGTATCCCTCCCAAAACCTACCAGACTGAGGGTATCCTGTTAAACCAGGATGGCACTGTTGCTGGTCTGATGCTCCCATCTTGTGCCATAATTCCGTCAGCCTTAATACGGAGCATGATCGAGTATGTTCGAAGTGGCCAAGTGGGGAAACTCATGTTCCGGGACTTTGACGTTCATCGTATGTTGCTAGCTGATGCTTTCCTGCAAGGACTGGACCGGAAGTGGGGAGAAGCCATCACACACAAACATGTGTTGTGTGTTGGGAAGGTACCAATCGAAAGCCCCTTGCTGTCGTCTAGCATGATCAAGCACCCGCTACGCCATGGAGACATCATTCTCAAGGTCGAAGGGCTCCGGGTCAGCACAGTTTCAGAAGTTGGCTTCCATTACTTGAAGCCCGTTCTGAGCATCTTGCTATTCCGCAATGGCGAAGAGATCGAAGTTGAAGTACCCACACTCTCTCTCCAAGATGTCACCATCGACACGGTAGTTAGTTTCTGCGGCAGCTGGTTGCAGAAGCCTCCTCTTGCTACACGCATGTCCGGTCGTCCTGTTCATTCTCAGGTATACACCACAGCTTTTATGAAAGGAGGCCAGGCCGATATGTTCGAGTTGAAAAACGGAGCTTTCATCGTCGGAGTAGACGGGAACACAATCTCAACGATGGCGGACTTCGTGGGCCACGTGGCCAAGATACCTTTCGAAAAATACTTTCGGGTTGAGTTTATTCCCGAAACGCAGGAACACAGGGTCATCACTATGATGAAAAGTGTCATAGGCCCTACACTTCTCTGGCGAAAGTTGCCCTCCCAAAACGAGGAAAAGGTTACGGTCAGTGTGGTTGACGACGAGCAGTGGAGTCAAGGATGGACATTGCCTAGGGCCAAGAGCGAGCGCATCCTTCTTGAGCCGCCAAAGTATTGACATGGAGGATTCTGTGGTAATTTGTTCTGTGGTAGATTTGAGAGTAATGCAAGGGAGCTTGAAACTTTGCCCTTACAAAGTAGATTTGAGTCAGCGCGACCAAAGTCGCTACTCTGAAAGAGCAGAGTGTCTGGGTCGTTGCATCCGCTCCGGAAGGGGGAGGGGGCCAGGATTCCGCGCCGCTGACATGCCTAGCCATTACCATTGGCAACGCCCTAGCCAATCGACGAAGTCTAGTAGTAGATCCCAGCCACCTAATAGACGTCCCATACTGGCGCACTGTTGCTTATCTATTGCTTACCATTGGTCAAGCTCAGGATAGGGGAACCCGTTCATCGGCCCCTCCCCCATTCACCATCATCCCTCGTTCATCATCACTTGCTTACCATCACTCGCACTCTTGCCATCATGGCGTCTTTCCTGGCGCATCAATGTGCTTGTGGCGAAGCGTTCCCCGACGAGGCATCGCGTTTTGCTCACCTTTTGCACTACGAGGCAAGTTAAGAGACCGTGTGCATTAGGCGTTGCTAATTTTACTCTAAGAGCTGGCTTCAATCGCTCTCTAAAGAAATAGAGCTTTGCAAAACACACAAAGCGATACAGGGTCAACAGCCGGGCTCAGAAGTAGGTTTTCTGCATAACAGCGATCTCGAGGGGGCTGGCTGTCCGTTGAGCAATTGGAGCACCTGCAATCAGTCGTTTGACTCGAGATCCGATATATTTCAACATTTTGGACAACGTAAGTTCAGGATTTTCATACCCGCAAACGCTGCTTACAAAGAAGTAGACATCGAGTGCGAAGAGGTGTGTGTATTCTGCTATAGTCGATTCCATCGCGCCAGCGAATACATCAGTCACACCAGACTTCGATGTTCGGAGCAGAGTTGGACGAACGATGAAGTCAAAAATCTTTACGTCGAAGCTAGTCGCAGAAAGCTATTCGCCAAAATCGAGAGAGAGCTCGAGTCAGCAGTGCTCCAGGAGCAGCAAGCAAATAGCGGCGTTCCTGCGCTCAAAGGGGCTGCGTTGGCTCTGCCCGATACTACAGAAGTCGATCCGCGTCGGTCCGTCCCGGCTGCTCGGGGAGCATCTCAGTCAATCTCAACGGAGGCACCAAGACTGGTACCTCCATCGTCCTTTTCGCCATCTTCAGGCATCGCTTGCCCGACTGTATATTCGACAACATTCAATGTGACCTCGCCGCATCTCTCAGCACAAGCGCTGAATGATAACACAATGCCAGAAAGCATAGGGACGGATGCAACGACCCAGTCATCACATGGCCAACTCGCACCTTTCGTAATGCCATCCAATCAGCAAGCAACCCAGCCGGAGCCGGACTTCGATTTCTTCTTCACCCAACCTCATGAGGGCGCGTCTTTCGATGCACCCGTCTCGATCATCAACACAAACAGATCTTTGTTCCAGGTAGCGCGAGAATGTAGAGAAGTTCCAGACCCTAGAGAAGATAGCGTTCCAATCTGTCCCGACCCTCGATGCGCGACATGTCTTTCCATGGGTGAGGAGGTACGTGTCGCTGAGCTCACTGACAAGTCGCGCAGATGCTGACACTAAGTTCAGGGGCAGGAATCAGGTTGTCAAAGCTGCCATCTGTCGCAGCCGCTTCGTTCTCTCACCACCCCGGTATGTTTTGAAGAAAAACAGATTTTCCAGAAGTGTAAGCTGCTGCTTTGTTTCCGGTCACCAGCCTCTTTTCACATAGTCTTTAAGGAGTACAAAATGTGTGCCGCTGCATGATCCGTAATTAATGGTTTTCAAGGGGATGATGAGCACTATAAATGCCAAATTCGATGGCCTCAAGTACAAAGCCTTTCATCCGAAGGCTTGCTACACTTCGAGGTATTTCATTTCAGCGGCACTATAACTCTCAAGGTGCCTGGCGAGAAGTTCATATCGACAAATCCAGAGCACAAGAGAACCTGGGAGAAGTCTAAAGATGGCTGGGTGGGCCGGTCAACGGATGCAGTGCGCCTGGGTGATGAATCGCAAGCGGTGCGTCAGTCCTTGCACACTTACATTTCAACGTGCCGTGCACAATGCGTTGCAATGTCATCCGGGGACACTATACTGCAAGAGTTGTGGCAACTACTCCGAGATGGTTCGATCCCTACTGACAAGGAACCTATGCTACCTATGGCATTTGATCTTTGGACGGCAAATTGTATGTTAATGGAGGGATGGCGAACCTATCGCTCCTTACAACACTTCGACGGATCATGGTTTCCTTTCCAAACGAACTCAACACCGCGAGTGCTGCAAAACCAGCTGGACCAAATGCTTGAGGGCTACGTTGTGGCGCGTGAGAAGGAACTTCTCAATCGCCTTCAATCGGCAGTATTTCAGCGGGAATCCTCGTCTAGACTTGATGTCATTCTGACCATCGTCCTTCTCCTGAAGATAGTTGAGAAAGACATGTGGAGGTTGCTGTTTTGGATTCGGCACCGCGCCAGAGTAAGTCTCCCCCGAAATGCAGAGGGTACGTTACGAACCTTATAGATATACAAATGGCGACACCCTTTGAAACCGAAAGAACTTATCGAAAAGTCCATTTTCTTTTCCAGACTGCTGATTGGGTACGCGGACTCGGCTGCCGTGCGAGACCTCCCACCTGGTCTATTCGGACACATCATGCTCGCCAGTAAGTGGTAGTGGTGTCGTAGCTAACATCGGCTAATTACTGGCAGACGATTCCAATCCCCGATACGACGAGATGAACAGCGAGAGTGTGAACGGGAGCTTGGTGCCCTTGGTTCTTCGCGGGGATGTTCCAACCTATACGACGACAGTAGAATCACTGCTTGGTAAGAGCGTATAGATAGGGGTTATTTCCATACGTAGTCGTTATCTCTAATGCCAATTGCTCACATTTCCCACTGTGGCACAAGAACCGGCGCGCGATTACATCATTAACTGTCACGTGATGGCAAGGGTGGGATGCTTGTGTGACCCAAACGCTGCTTAGGTGCGGGGTCTGTCCCTCCATTTCAACTCTTCCATCTTACATTTCCTTTTATCTACGTTTCTTGGTCGTTCATTGGAACGACTAATTACGTTCATACCGCCATGGAAAACCGAAAGTCATCGCTCCCTTTTCTTGAGGTCATTGAAGGCCTCAAGAACCTCAAACGGGCTGGTTGGGTAGAGCGCGAGGTGCCCGAACCGGAAAGTGTGAGCGATCACATGTACCGAATGGCTTGGTTCTGCATAGCGCACCCTGAAGTAAATGTTGACAACCATTGTGGACTTCCGACGCTAACGAAGATCTAGCTGGAAAGTGAACATATGGACAAGGCCATTCTGATGTGCTTAATTCACGACATTGGCGAAACCACGGCAGGCGACATTACCCCGGCCGATGGCATCGATGCCAGTAAGAAAGAATGCTTTAGCTTATGTTTCGGGCTTTTCTAACAGCTACAGAAACCAAACATATCCGGGAGAAATTGGGGGTTCAGTTTTTATCTCTCTTGCTCAAGCCGTCAAATCCCTACTGGGCTTCGAAGATGGTTGAACTATGGGATGAATATGAGGAGGGGGCGACCAGAGTTGCCAAGCTTGTCCACCAGATCGACAAGCTTGAATGTTTACATCAGGCCTTGATCTACTTAAAGCGTCACCAAGGCAAAACCGACTTCCAAAAATCTTTTGCGAGTTTCAAGGAGCTCCGCAAAAAGATCTCCGACCCTTGGCTCTCGGCAGATGCGGATGCTATCCTGGCCGAATGGAATGCGCTTACAAATAAGGAGCAGCAAGCATCGACAAATGTTGTTTTTGTGATCGGTACGTGCTACCGCTTCCCACAATTTTGCTTACTTTAACATGGATAGGCGGCCCTGGCGTTGGGAAAGGAACTCTATGCGCTCGCATAGCCGAGGACCTCAACTTTACACACGTGTCCGTGGGCGACTTACTGCGGGAGGAGAAAGACAATCCCGCCTCAGAGTTTGGTAGCTTCATCCGGGAGAGCTTCCAGGAGTCGGTCATTGTTCCTCCCTATCTTACCACGAGGTTGTTGAAAGACAGGGTTCAGGCTATACAATCCCAGAACCGAGGAGTTCTCGTTGACGGCTTTCCGCGGAGCATCGAGCAGGCTGTTGCATTTGAGAGAGAGGTAGGTTACGAGATCCAGATCGACATTGTAATGCGCTAAGCCTCTGCTAGATCTCTGACACCTACATGACCGTATGCCTTGAATGCTCGCCTGAGACCATGATCAAGCGTGTTCAAGCAAGATCAGGCTCGTCAAATCGGGACGACGATGATCTTGTCACATTGAAGAAACGGCTCGCTACTTTTTCTAGCACCAATGATGCTATAGTCAAGCACTTGTCAAAGAACAAGATGGCGAGAGTAAGTGAGTCTACTCTGGTGATCTGCAGCGTTACTGAGCATTCTTAGGTTGATGCCGCACGATCTTCGGACGAAGTGTTTACCTCGGTCAGGGAGCTTCTCGTTCGTGAACTATGATAACACTGCGTTTCATCTAGTTCTTCTTTGGATACGCCCAAGGGGGACTTTATATACTCCTCCTCAAACCCGGATTTTTATGCACATGAGCCTGTTCACCGTGCATCTCATCTGTTCACCCAAACCCTTCCCTATTTCTAGCAATAATGCAAATGTCTCGACTACTCCACCGAGAGAAACTCCAACCTGATGCTGGGAACATCGATTTTCAGTTAAACTAGGGAGGTTGCTGGACGGCAACACGATCTCCAACACTTGCTCCGAGACTTTTCGGTCAAGTTCGAAAACGACTTGACTGGAATTGAGGCGAATTACTGGGAAATCCCTAAATACTTTGTGTGAAACCGGAACATCGTTGGTAGAGGGCTTAAGAAGCACTTTCAATTGCTAGCAAGTGTTGGCCGGCGAATGGCAGGCTCTAGAATGCACTAGTCAACCTGCTTGAGTCGAAGAAAGTTGGAAACAATTGAAGAAAGCAAGCCAGCTTGCTGGTTTCAATGAACCGATAGGTGAGGGTGAAAATAAAGGCTACTGAAAGATATTGCGACAAACCTTCTCATGCCTGCCTCAAGATGAAATTACTGATATCTTTGCCCATATGGGCGACAACTCTTTGGTGCAATGTTGAGAAACTGCTTCTGGGCCGACTTTAGCTGTATTAACTCGAGTGCCTTTTGCTCTGCGCTGGTAGGTGCAAATGTAGCGAGGGGACGAATAAACATGCACTGATTCTCCAGGGGGCAAAACGAGACATCCTATGGGCGAGGCCGCTCTATCTGGACATATTACACAGATTTCGCCACAAACAACAACCGGCAAACTGTGGATCGCGCTGGGACCAAAATATTTGGCCCACGGGTCTACCCACTTGATCTGGATCCTACTGGGCGCCAACGCGCTATTGAGCGTACAGTCATTGGCCCACAGAGGCGTGAGGGGTAAGATTGACAGCTACCTGCGATGCTCTCTCTGCATCACTGCTGCCTAGACAAGGCACAGCGGATGTAAACAGGCCTGGGTTTGCAGTGTTACACAGAGGCAGTGGCCGACCTAGAAGAGATCGCCAACATTTACTTGAGATGCCCTGAAAAGGGGGTTGTATGTCTCACGCTTTTGTTGCTGTGGCCACACGATGCTACAACGGGCGTCTTCCCAAAAAGCAATGAATGTACTTGAGGTAATGATTTGCGAATGGAAGCCCTTGAACAGGCTGGAGGTGTATGGAAACAAAACAGTCGAATGGACGTAGTAAACCGTAGGAGTACTGTGGGTCTCCTTCGCTGTTCCTTGCCGCTTCCGATGGAAAATGCAACGTTCTGCACAGGCTCTTAGGTAACTCGTACAAGCAAGGAATGCGCTACACGATACTCTGTCACCATCAAATAGCCACGTGCTATTCACGTCCGCACCCTCCCGCTGTACTGTTCCCGACGCGACTTCGCCCCAAAAACACCTCATCCTCCAGCCATTTTCCGAGCAGGTGAAAGTACATCCCAGATGCCAAATACGTACTCTGTAAAAGTATCTCCCCTGAACAAACAATGAGCCTTAAAAGTACCGTTTGATTTCGAGAAGCGGCGTAAGCACTGGTGTAAAAGGACGTTGTAGAAGGTACAAGGTATTAGGAGGTAGCGCTCGTGGAAGAGTTTCTTTCGGTGGATACGGAACACCCATGCTCGATCATTTGGTACAAGTCCTGTCGGGACCATCCCTGCCCTTGGCATGGTCGAAATGGCCCTCTAGTGTGATTGGGCAGTGTACGAATATCTAGGGGAGTGCGTTTTGCCATAACGAGTTATGCATAAGATACTTGACAGCACGGGGTGATGCAGCAGATGCCTTGGCCCCATACACCATGCAGAGAATCGGTCCTCATTCGTTGCCAGCTCGCTCACCGCTCCACATTAGTCACTCCGAAAAGTGGTCATGGCTCCCAGCCAGCGCATGGCACCGAGCCTTGTTGAAGTCGGGAGCCACAGCTATTTAATATGATGTTCACTTCTGCACTTGAGTCCAGGCATCGTTAATACAGAAGATGGCGGCCCGGTTCCCCGTCAAGAACTCGATTTGGGAAATCGACCGTAACACTTGGTCAGTCGGCGAACGACTACTCCTTTCTCGCACGCCTACCGCACCGGCCGACCGTTGGTGGAGCGACGGCTGTGGCTCCTTTTACAGCATTTCCGAGCTGGCCGGAACACCACCTCCATCTCGGCCATTGTCAACCTTGTCCTTGACCCCTATACGACTTATCTACGAAGCCGGCGACAGCTCTGCTGTCTGGGCAATCGGGGACGCCTTCCTGAAGATTAAGAGCTCCGATCATCCGGAGACGACTCGGGAGCATGTCACAATAGCCGCCGTACATGCCATGCGACGCAGTTTCACTATTCCGAACGTTCTCTTCCACGACGAGTGGGCTGGCCGTCGATACTTGGTTCTGTCCAAAATCCCCGGGTGCACCCTCGCCGACGCATGGAAAACAATGGATGAGGCGACGAAATGTCAGTATGTCGATCGGGTGGTGGATGTTTGTAATGAGCTGGGCAAGCTTCGGAATGATTGTATCGGTGGCATTGATGGGAATCAGCTCCTTGAACCGCTACTTGTCAAACGCAATGCGGTCGCAGATTTCAGTCACGACAACCTACTGAAGGCTTGCGAGACGTTAGGTATGGACTGCTCTAATTTTGTATTCTATCACTGCGACTTGGGGCCGGGCAACTTAATCATAGATAGCGATGGATCGCTTGGTGTCATCGACTGGGAAATGGCTGGCTTTGTGCCCAAGGACTGGATCAGGACCAGATTCTGTATTTCTGGCGGTTTGGATTTACCTGGCACGGGTGATGAAAGGGTCGATTGGAGACGGCGTATGCAAAGACGACTATCTACAGAAGGATATCCCGAAATTGCTGACGAGTGGATGAGTTGGTGGAGGGGAGAATAGATTTATTCCTGGGTGCCACAAACACATCTCTAGACAGTCATATCATCTGAAATTTCTTCTAGCTCTTGCATTCGTCTTCCAATCTTGTTCGTGTCTTTCTGGCGTCAAGGTTTTTACCATATTTGCAAGTTCGGTAAGGCACGAGGATAAACGTACGAAAGTCGCTTATTTGACAACCTGAGCGGGGACCTGCTCGCAAGGCTTGCCATCCTTCATCCCACCACACTTGGTTCCTCCGGACATGTTGTTGTAACCGCACGGAGGGCAGTTGACGGCGTTGATTAGTTCCGAGGGGGTGATCGCGGCCATGATGGCTGAACTTGAAGGCCAAATAGAATTTTACAAAGATTGAGTAATTTTGTCGGAATGTTGCAGTATGGTAATATGAAGGGTGAGTGAGAGCTAGATTCTCGTCCGACCGGGAGTGTTTTGGAGGCTCTTTTCAAATACTCAGCCCCTTGAACTGTCGTGGTTATCATGGCCACAGTCATCACCAGCCGGCAACCTGCAGTAGCGCCTACCAAGAGGGCTTGCTGATATCCAACCCGAGTGGCACGCTTCCAATTACTCCGGCAAGACTTGATGAGCCATGCTGACCACCATCAACTCACTTTTCTGCCTCACGTTCACTGCTCCTGTAAGTGTCCATATTAGGCATTGGAACCTAAGTCCCAGCCTTGGGTTGCCCGGAGGATCTGTCAGCGATTGGCCGTCTCAAGTGAGGTGGGAGGCGCAGGGGGAGGGACAGCACATACTGTGTAATAGACGCCAGCTAGCGTGGGACAAGTCCTGCGAATGTGGGGGGTTCATGCATATTCGCATGCCATGTCCGACGATTGAGATGTACCTAGGTGGCTAGGAACCCAGAACTAGGAATATAGGCTAATATTTGCATACGCCTAGTTACCCACTAATGCAGTGTAGACTGGATGGATAAGTGGAGAATTTTTTTGGGTTGTGCGCTACTTTCTCACCATGGGCTTAGCGCCGATACAGTGGTGAACTTCTGGGGCAGCTGGCTGCAGAAGCCGTCACTTGCTGTGTGGATTGCTCGCCATCCTTTTTGCTCCAAAGTGCACATGACAGGAAGATCACGAGAAGGCCTAGCGGCTTCGTATGGAATGCCTTGCTAGGCTTCACCGTCGGTCTTCATAAAGTATCAGTCATATTTGTGTTTAATGTGTGCTCGAAATGCATGAACACAAAAATACTCTAGAGTATTAGTCAGAAGATGGATTGAGAGGCAACATCTACTTGTGTGATTGGAGCCGCGGGATCAATGTTCCGAAGTAGGTGCAGGTCGACGTGCTTGTAAGGGGAGGTTTACTCTGGACTAGCTACCGCCATCAGAAGACTTTTTCGGATGAATGCCGGCTTTTGATTCCAGGTTCATCTGTTTTCTCCCTTCTCTCGCTTCGTTTATTCGCATTCGCAGTAGAATGTCGCCCGTCCGGACGAGGTTCAAGACATGAAATACATCGCCTGATGCCCGTAATCGATGGAGTATTTCGATAGCTTCGGTTTCAGGCCGTGAACAGAGGTTTCCGACTAGCTCGAAGAGCTCGCTGTTCACTTTTTTGAGCCCTTCGAGACGATCCTTGATCGCCTGGCGGGGCGTTGTTTCGGGCTCTGTGCCCCATCCACAACCGATGTTCAAGTTCGAACATCGCGAACAAGTCGGTCGAACTCCGGAACACTGTAGCGAGAAGGGAATAAGTCTCTGGCCATATTTATCCAATTCTCCGGTAACTGCGGCTACATGGGAAGCTTACCTTGATTTTCCGCTTACGGCACTCCAGATAAGCCGATAGTACCGTCCGTCTTCGCTGTCTATGTAATCTAACGCGAGATTCGGAGCTGGCCCGTAATGGTTGTCGGAAACTGGTTGCCATCTCAGTATTCTTCGAGTTCGGGTTGTCTTTTTGGTCATTATCGTGTTGCCAACGTGGCATCTTGTGAGTGAAAATAAGGAAACCTGAGTATATGTGTATTCGCGGCATTGCTAGAACCTACTATCGCAGAAGTATGACGAGCGAATCGTCCATCAGCGTCTCGTAGCTGCTACATATTTCTCCTCCGCTGCAATACACAACTTATACACCCGGCAGGCATGATGCTGATGGAGGAGACACTCTTGCCCTTCTAAGTTACATTAGCGTGGCTGGGCATCTGCCAGAGACCTTATGCCTCAGGGGCAGACCGGCTCGGCCTACCTCTGGCGGCTACGTCTCATCTATGGGTTGCTCCCTCGTTCATTACCATGGCATATAACTTCAGTCTATAAGGTAGTCCATTGACTGCAGCCTATCAACGCCAAAGATTCACAGAGGCATTGAGCGTCCCAATTCTCATCAGGGATATACATTTAGTAACATCAGGGTTTCTTTAGGGTTTTGTGATGACTGCTAAGTGATTGGGCCTCCGCATCTCTAGCAGACACCGGGGTACACTTCAAACAGTCTGATAGGTAGTCATCATTCAAGGTTGAAGACAAGTATCGGCTCATCCGGCGTCGTATTCCAATGACGACTCAGTCCACAGGCACACTCTCAAACTGCATAGCTCTGACTCACGATATGCGGACGAGTCGAATGTATCGACGAGCCTTTCCGGTCATGGTCGTAGTAAGGCTTCGTCACGTCTTCATCCTTGCGACAGCATGTCCGCAAATGTAATGCGGATGCGGAACGACGGGCTGAGAATTAACCCTCATTCCCCCTTCCTGATCTGTTGGTGTCTAGTCGTCATGCTGCTTGCTGCATGTCACTCATTACTTTGCTTGCCGAGCGCAATACTGCAACCATTAACGATGCTGCAGCCCATACTTCCATCCTCTCCCTATCGCTCAGTGAGGCAAGGCATGAATCACACTGGCGAGTCACATCTGCGGACATGTTCGACACGTCAATCATGCCTTCGGGGTGTCGCGAGCCGCCTAGGCCCATGATCAAAAGTATATAAACCTACGATCGGACTGATGCAGAATAACTGTCCTCTCTCTCTCTCTCTCTCTCTATCTTTATCTCTTTCTCCATTTCTTCCTTTCTTCCATTTCTGCATCGCCCATATAGCAAACGCGGAAGATGTCGGAGCTCACGGGTAGTGACCCAGCCATGGCCAGTACGCCAGAGTCTGCAGCCAACACAACACAACAGACAACTTGCAAATCTACAATTACCTCTCCAAAGCTGGAAGATGTCAATACAGCCCTTTTGTCGCAGCGAAACACCGATATACCCCAAACACAAGGATCGGACTTCACGAACATTCCAGAGGCAATCCTTACCTCGGAGCCAGGCATCAACAAGTCAGAACCGGACGGTGATATGATACACCCTGAAGTCCTTGCGACTATGCAGTCGGTCTTCAAAGAAGAGGTGAGGGCCCACATGTCGGAGTCAGCCGCCAGCCTGGAGTCAGTCACAGATTTGACGCCAGAAGCCATTGCAAAATACCTGGCTGTTCACACGAGAGATATGGCACTTGTCTCCATGGAAGATTTCAGCCCAGCATGCAGTCCACCAACAACCATTATACGAAGCTGTGCACAGGAGCCAGAAGAACTCCGATTCTTCAAGGCTGAGGCACATGATTACACCTCTCCGATGGAGCGGCAGATGAGAGTCCACACTAGCGATTTAGGAGAAATTACCCGGCAGATGATCTCCTTTGCAACAAACATGTCCCAACAAGCAGGCCCTAGTCACCGTCCATCGGTTAGGTTCGAGAAAATTTACAGCTTGCAGCCTTATCAACCTACTGAGCATTTCACGGGAGAGGCTTACCCTCTGACTCACAACATGTTGCTTCTTGGGGCTACGCTCCCCTCGGAATTTTCGTGGCAATCCGATTGCAAAAGATCAAGGGTCACGGTCAACACACAAACCGGAGTATGGATATTCATTGAATACAGGGGAATCCATGGCGACTACTCCATCTGGATGGATCGTGAAGTTGAAAAGGGTTGGAAGCTAGGTCCTCTGTCCGTTCACTTGAGAATTTGAGTCTATGTCTCTCTTTGGGCTACGGAAGTAGCGGCTAGAGTGGCTGGATTCAACACCGTCACAGGCAGAGCAGGTTGTAATAGGAGCCTGCATAACGATGGCTGCCTATGGGCTATTTCACTTCCTCGTTAGACTGTGGTAAAGTTCAACACATACGCCAGTAGCATGTATGCAGTAGGCCAAGTTTACCCTAACTGCATATGATTATCTTGTTTTCCAACCATGATTTCATCCGCATATTGTGTTACCCTGCAAGACTTTTCGCTTCGTATGTGTGATTTGAATTCAGAGGATGAGTGCTGAAGAATTCGATATCTTACATGAACAAACAATCAGCTGTTGCAATACACGAGCTGCCAGCCAGGGAAGTTCGCCGACTCCTGATTCATCATGTGCGAGTATTCCTGAAGTTAAGACAATTGAAATGGGGTGTTCATGGAACAAGTTGAATAAAGCCACATGTTCCATTGACATCCAGCCTATTGCTGTTAGCACGCTGCACCAGAGGGCTGAGATCACCGTCCAACGAAGCTTACGAGAGCGGCAGGCCCTGTACAGGTGACTTGAATGAAGCTGCATGGCACTGAAGCTACGCGGGACTGACAGACAGTTGCATGGCCACAGGGCCCAGATGAACCCAGCATCAAAACAGGGAAGTCGCTGCTCTCCCCTTCGCTGAGCAAGGCAAAACCTTTACGTCAAACATGATTTCCTTTACCGAGGACGAACAGGATTACTCAACAATACGCGGTAACGAAGGCTCTCCTGACAACCAAGCAAGCTTCACAGTCAGACCCGAATCCTCCCCACTTGATTCCATGACGGTGCAGACTTATTCGCCTTTCCTTGATCGATCAGGAGCTCCGGCTCCGGAATGCCACGTGCAGGCGCCAGCGGGGCACGAGATGACTTACACCAACCAACACTTTAAAGACTCGCTCAATTCGATCCTTTACGGGTCGTCCCTTGCATCGTGGTACAGGGGACAGGGGCTGGTACCTCCACATACGGAGAACTCTCAGGGCTGGAGCACTTGGGATGGCGGCGGACCGACAGACATAAGCACCGACGATGAAACACGGCAGGCGGCGTTGCTACTTCAAACCCTTGGCGATGCCCATGAAAGAACGTGAGCGAGAATTTGGTCATCAGGTTGGACCGCGTTCAGACCTTCTTGTTGTCATGACTTGGACCGGCGGCCCTTTTGTGATGGGGTCTCTAAGGCGTCAGTGTTTGGTGTCTAAAGTGGTTCAAGGCGCTTCACTAAATTCGTTTTTTGGCTTAGCAACTGAAGTTTACATCTCTACGCATGCTCAAGGTCCTATTCTGGGACTCTATATGTAGCCAATATGGTTGTGAGAGTATGAGGAATAAGGAGCGCTTCGCGGCCTGCAAACAGCGGATTTCTTGTAGTTGTAACTGTTATGAACGTTGTGTTGTTATCTGCATTCATTCTGATACCTCTTAGCCAAACCTCTACCGCCCTGCTATAAGTTGACCACCCCCTCCTAGATTCCCTCAGACATGGCACTAACCGTACACATCTCATTCCACTTGCGTCCTCTCATGTCGGATACCGACAAGGTTTTCAGACTACCCTTCATCACAAGATATAGCGGTCTCATACGGATGTATACCTACGGTAAGAAGATCGAATCACAGCGCGAAATTGCGCTGTGTCCCCGAGAACGAAGGCGCGCACCAGCGGATTGCAGCTTAGCCACGGCCTAAGGTCCATTGCGGGGTCAAAGGTTGTAGCTGGGTGCGGTCCTCCCCGAGCGTCCTGTTGTAGAAGTTGGCATCGCTCGACGTAGGCGACGGCTTGTAAGGACAAAGTCAGTATCAGTCAACAGAAGATTCGAGTTATGCGCGAACAGAGGGTGTGTTTTCTCGGATGCCCACGCGATACTCAGTCTGCTTCGTCAAGAGACGTCGATGGAAGCATTCCCAGACCGTCCCATAGAGCGTCCAAGACGACTTCCTTTGCAACGAAATGCCTCCCATCGACACAGCTGGCAACTTCCAGGGTAGAATCATTTCAGTCGAGCTCGTTATCATCAGGCCAGGTGACTGGTGATCGTACCTTAGCCCACGAACATGATGGTATTAGTGTCGTGTCTGGAGCACTGTCGGTTATATCAATTTTCTCACGGTGGCAATCGCGGCATCATAAGAATTGTCTCGGCATATGTTCTGTCATCAACAACCCTGCATGGTATTCTCTAGCCCATGCTCACCGCTATGGCTCAATGCGATCAAAGGCGGGCAACTTGTCGGCCAATCTCCCAGTTCGACGTGCAGAATAATCGATAACTAGCTGCAACCAGTTTGCAAGATGCGTTTCCAGGTCATCTACTCCAGTGTTTCGGGTATGTAGGTTGGGATCGAGATACAGACGGGTTGACTTGATCTAGCGCCGAACGGTTCAGGAAAACCAAAGGTGCCTGCCGGCGTTACAAATTTCAGTCTCTCCTCATGGACCGCTGATAACTAACTCGTGTGAAATATTCGGACAACGCCCACCCATATCATAACAATCTCCACAAATATGGAAGTCTCCACCAGAGCAACTCGTGCATTGATAGCAGGTGCTGTTTTTCCAGATGCCGAACGTGCAGATGTCGCACCAAATGGAAGACGAATTACGAGACGCGGAGTCCGCCTCTACAGTCATTTCATACTCGTCTGCCTGTCTCGCGTCTCGAGCTTCACGGTCATCTAACATCTGGACAATTTCAGGGTACCCTCGTCGTCTGGCCCACCAGAGTGATGTTCTCCCGAAAGAGTCTTGACCCTCGGTCTCAATATCTTGTCCTGTTAATAAAAATGCAACAATACTTGCATGACCCTTCCTAGCGGCCGCTGACAGAGGCGTAACGTTGTAATAATTTGCAACTGAGACGTTAGCCCCCTTGTCCAAAAGGACCTTGACGACCTCTAGGTGACCCTCCTTCGATGCGGAGTTGAGTGGTGTCCATCCATTGTTGTTCGCAACTGTGACGTCGGCCCCTTTCTCTAGAAGCAGCTTGACTACATCGACATGGCCCTCCTTCGATGCCGAGTAGAGTGATGTCCATCCGTCGTTGTCTGCAATCGTGACGTCGGCCCCCTTCTCAAGAAGCAGCTTGACCACATCGATATGGCCTTTGTACGATGCGGAGTGAAGCGGTGTCCGTCCGTTGTTGTTCGCAACCGTAACGTCGGCCTCCTTTTCTAGAAGCAGCTTGACCACATCGACATGGCCGTTGCACGATGCGGAGTTGAGTGGTGTCCATCCGTTGTTGTCTGCAACCGTGACGTCGGCCTCCTTTTCTAGAAGCAGCTCGACTACATCGATATGGCCACCGTTGGAGACCAAGTTGAGGGGTGTCCATCCGTCGTTGTCTGCAACCTTGACGTCGGCCCCTTTCTCTAGAAGCAACTTGACTACATCGATATGGCCCTTGTACGATGCGGAGTGAAGCGGTGTCCGTCCGTTGTTGTTCGCAACTGTGACGTCGGCCCCCTTCTCAAGAAGCAGCTTGACCATATCGACATGGCCCTTGTACGATGCGGAGTAGAGTGGTGTCCATCCGTTGTTGTTCGCAACCGTGACGTCGGCCCCTTTCTCTAGAAGCAGCTTGACTACATCGATATGGCCCTCCTTCGATGCGGAATAGAGTGGTGTCCTTCCGTTGTTGTTCGCAACCGTGACGTCGGCCTCTTTCTCTAGAAGCAGCTTGACCACATCGACATGGCCGTTGTTCGATGCGGAATAAATTGGTGTCCATCCGTCGTTGTCTGCAACCGTGACGTCGGCCTCTTTCTCTAGAAGCAGCTTGACTACATCGATATGGCCCTCCTTCGATGCGGAATAGAGTGGTGTCCTTCCGTTGTTGTTCGCAACCGTAACGTCGGCCCCTTTCTCTAGAAGAAATTTGACCACATCGATATGGCCCTTGTACGATGCGGAATAGAGTGGTGTCCTTCCGTTGTTACTCGAAACCGTGAGGTTGGCCCCCTTCTCAAGGAGAAGCTTGACCACATCGATATGGCCACCGTTGGAGACCAAGTTGAGGGGTGTCCATCCGTCGTTGTCTGCAACCTTGACGTCGGCCCCTTTCTCTAGAAGCAACTTGACTACATCGATATGGCCCTTGTACGATGCGGAGTGAAGCGGTGTCCATCCGTCGTTGTCTGCAATCGTGACGTCGGCCTCCTTTTCTAGAAGCAGCTTGACCACATCGATATGGCCGTTGTTCGATGCGGAATAAATTGGTGTCCATCCGTCGTTGTCTGCAACCGTGACGTCGGCCCCTTTCTCTAGAAGCAGCTTGACCACATCGACATGGCCGTTGTTCGATGCGGAGTGAAGCGGTGTCCATCCTTCGGTACTCCCAACCCTGACGTCGGCCCCTTTCTCTAGAAGCAGCTTGACTACATCGACGTGGCCCTCCCTCGATGCAGATTGGAGTGATGTCCATCCGTCGTTGTCTGCAATCGTGACGTCGGCCCCCTTCTCAAGAAGCAGCTTGACCACATCGATATGGCCCTTGTACGATGCGGAGTTGAGTGGTGTCCATCCGTTGTTGTTCGCAACCGTAACGTCGGCCTCCTTCTCAAGAAGCAGCTTGACCACATCGACATGGCCGTTGTTCGATGCGGAGTTGAGTGGTGTCCATCCGTTGTTGTTCGCAACCGTAACGTCGGCCTCCTTTTCTAGAAGCAGCTTGACCACATCGACATGGCCGTTGTTCGATGCGGAGTTGAGTGGTGTCCTTCCGTTGTTGTTCGCAACCATGACGTCGGCCCCCTTCTCAAGAAGCAGCTTGACCACATCGACATGGCCGTTGTTCGATGCGGAATAAATTGGTGTCCATCCGTCGTTGTCTGCAACCGTGACGTCGGCCTCTTTCTCTAGAAGCAGCTTGACTACATCGACATGGCCCTCCTTCGATGCGGAGTTGAGTGATGTCCATCCGTCGTTGTCTGCAACCGTGACGTCGGCCTCCTTTTCTAGAAGCAGCTTGACCACATCGATATGGCCGTTGTTCGATGCGGAATAAATTGGTGTCCATCCGTCGTTGTCTGCAACCGTGACGTCGGCCCCTTTCTCTAGAAGCAGCTTGACCACATCGACATGGCCACTGTCCGACGCTGAGTTGAGCGGTGTCCATCCTTCGGTACTCCCAACCCTGACGTCGGCCCCTTTCTCTAGAAGCAGCTTGACCACATCGACATGGCCGTTGCACGATGCGGAGTTCAGTGGTGTCCATCCGTTATTGTCTGCAACCGTGACGTCGGCCCCCTTCTCAAGAAGCAGCTTGACCACATCGACATGGCCGTTGTTCGATGCGGAGTTGAGTGGTGTCCTTCCGTTGTTGTTCGCAACCATGACGTCGGCCCCCTTCTCAAGAAGCAGCTTGACCACATCGACATGGCCGTTGTTCGATGCGGAATAAATTGGTGTCCATCCGTCGTTGTCTGCAACCGTGACGTCGGCCTCTTTCTCTAGAAGCAGCTTGACTACATCGACATGGCCGTTGTTCGATGCGGATTGGAGTGATGTCCATCCGTTGTTGTCTGCAACCGTGACGTCGGCCCCTTTCTCTAGAAGCAATTTGACTACATCGACATGGCCCTTGTTCGATGCGGAATGGAGTGGTGTCCATCCGTTGTTGTTCGCAACCGTGACGTCGGCCCCTTTCTCTAGAAGCAGCTTGACCACATCGACGTGGCCACTGTCTGACGCTGAGTTGAGCGGTGTCCATCCGTTGGTACTCCCAACTGTGACGTCGGCCCCTTTCTCTAGAAGCAATTTGACTACATCGACATGGCCGTTGTTTGATGCGGAGTAGAGTGGTGTCCATCCGTCGTCGTTTGCAGCTCTGATGTCGGCTCCCCTGTCAATAAGCATCCCTGCCATATCAATATTCCCATTTTCGCAGGCGATGTACAATGCAGTCCTGCCCAATTTGCCCTTTTCGTTAACCTCGTGGTTGCAATTCATTATGAGACTTTTTGCAACCCCAACGAAGTCCAGCGCCGCAGCATAGAATAAAGGGCTAGCCGGCCTATTATCTCTTTCTTCGGTTTCCCCAATTGTGCCGTCATTTAATTCGAACCATTCTCTCCACCTTTCCCAAGATGGGCTTTTAGTATCAAAAAACTTAAGCATCATTCTTGTGAAGACATGACTGTCACTCTTGCCCAGAGCAGCGTGCTGATACCACGAGCGCGCGGCATAATCTCGAAACGACTTCTGCACACGGCTCTCCTCTCCAGATACAGAGTCGTCCCACACGCGCTGGTAATTGACGTAACAAAGACAGATCCTCGCGAGTTCCGTGCTTTGAAGCGCTATGAACGAAGCCTGCAGGTGTTCGTTTGCCGCTAGAGGCGCTGCTTGAGCAGCGAGATTGATGAGTATGTATTCTTTGACAGTGAAGTGGGTTAAATGTATGGTCCGTAATCCTGCATGAGCATCTGTCGACGTGCTCCGGACCTCTACTAAAGATCCACAAGGGAATAAAATCTCCTCATCGATATACTCATCATCCACGCGGTCGGGCAGCTCTGCTGCAGGAAACTCATCGTCTTCGTCGTTAATCAGAACGGCCTCGGTGATCTCAGCAACGGTCAGGGGTCTTAGCGCGAACGCGGCCCAGCGGAGCAGGGAAAATGCGCGGGTTCTCTTCCATTCAGGCAGTCGTGATATCCTGGACCAGTTTCGTTCGTAAGCGTGTTCAAGCCCGGGCGGCGTTTTGTCAATAGCAACTTCGAGTTGCTTCTTATTCTTCCAGCTGCGCAAGGAGTCTTCGTGTAGCTTGAGCCAGAGAAACTGGCCGTTGGAACGGTCTGCCATCCTCTGGGCGATATCGTCCTTCGTAGCTTCGTCCTTTTTGTGAAGCCTCCTATCCACAATGCTTCTAGAATACTGTACGGTGTCGGATAGTACATCTTCTGTTGAAATCTCGAGCTGTAGGCAGGTTCTTGCGTCACCGATAACATCCCGGATTTCTGGCTCGTTGCGACTGACGACCATGACTCGGGCGGTGCTGCCTGTCACCACTCGCATGATGGTTTCGAGGAACCCGGGCACAGAGTCGCTCCTATTTTGGCCACCTCCCATCCACGCGCACTCGTCCAGTCCGTCCAGAATGAAGGTGCAACTCGGTACAGCTTGTGCGATGTCCTGGAATACTTGAATGGTGGTCGCTCGCGTTGCGACATGTTCATTTTGGACCAGCCACCTTTTGCGAACCAAGTCCAACGCGCCGTTGTCGCGCGTCATCACCTGATCTATCCACGATTGGATCGCCGCATAAGGGTCGTTGCGCGTCTCAAAATCGGACGACAAAAAAAAATGGGCGACTGGGGTGTCAAGCGTCTCGAGAAGGTGTTCAACCACTCTAGCGCAAAGTATGGTCTTCCCGAGCCCCGCGCGACCATTGATCCAGAGCACGTTCGCGGAGCTTGGCGCACGATCGAGAGACAGCCACTCTCGAAAGGCTGGCCGGCTCAGGATCCAGTCGCAGGTACCACTGAGCCGTTTCTGGACCGACTCGATGTACCGGTCGTTGGGAGAGTGGCGGCCCAACCAGGAGCGCAGGTCCCGTCGCGTTTCGGCTGCATCCGTTAGCGTGGATAGTGGTCAGCAGGATAGCCTTACCTGCCATTTCCTCGTCCAACTTGGCTACAATCTGCCGCAGCTCAGGAATCCAGGCGCTTTCATGGATGGGATTGTCTAAGGATCAAACGTAGATGAGTACGGCGAGTACGGCCAGGGGATGTGCTGGCATGCAAACCTTGCAGACGTCCAAGGCCTTGGCCCTTTGTTGATACTCCATGTGCAGCGTATGTACTTTTCGCACCCTCGGGAGGAACGATGTTATGTAGATGCTGCACCAGGACACCGAACTGTTCGACCTGAGCAATGCGTCGCACCTTGCCCCTCAGGGACCAAGCGATCTTTCGCCTCGTTGAATTCGGCTGGGCACCCCAGCGATGTTGCACATGATCGGCTGTGGAAGACTTGTCTTTGGCAGAATTGGCACTGCTCGGCAGTGAGAGTTGAACAGCGGCGCTGTCGGCGTCCGTGTATATCTTTTTGATGAGCGACAAGAGTTCTGTCGCCGTCGACGACGTTTGTGGATCGTTGAGGGCGGGGTGGTGGGTGCCCGATAATGTGCCATTGTTGATGCCGATGGCAGAGCCCCATTGTTCAAAACGGCGTTTTTCGGCCTGAAACTGGACATTCAGCGAGTGTGAGTCGTGCTTGAAATCCCTGTAGGAATCCACCTTCTCGACGATCTCCAGACACGTGCTGAAGAGACCTGCGAGCCCCGTGATCCCAACGGCAAGTCCCACGGGTTCCATGGCTGTGATGATTGCAGACAGATTTGTTTCCTGGGCATGCGCACACGTCCGTCTTAAGAGAACCCTGTGTGAGTTGGACTTCGGCCACCAGGCGGAGAAGGGTGTCTGCCCGCAGGTCTGCCTGCAGATCTGCCTGCAGATGAGGCATTCAGGGTGGTCAAATGGGTAGCATCGCGCCAACGTGAAATGGGTTCCACGAGCTGTTCGGATCTTGAGTTGAGCAGGAGGATGCACGATTGGTGGATCGAGAGGCCCACCTTATCAGATGCACACAGTGACCAGGGCGGGCTGTGTCGTAAGCAGTGGCTTTGCACTCGCCGTGGTCCGTCCGTCGCCTGTGTACACGTTCTGATTCTGCACTCGATTTTTGGTAGGAGGGAGAAGAAGCATCCACACATTCGAAGTACAGCCGAGACTGCCTAGAGCCGTATGACAATTGGCCCTCTTCCTGTAAGCACTATAAACGCCACAGCGTAAGACGGTGCAGCTGAAATCGTTATTTGGCCACCCTTTCCTTCTTTTTCCACTTTGTCCATTACTTTCCTTTCATCGATAAGGCTGTGGCACGAATGGCACTGTCCAGATGAAAGAGTTCTCAACGGCTGGTAAGGGGCTTGGGACGATGGCTCCATTACAGAGCATCCCGGTTCGGCCCGTGTCAAGGTCAAAAGCTCGGATGGTGGGCGATCTTCAGAGGGTCAAACGGTGAATCCCAAGTTGGTCGTATCGTGGCCCAATAAGCGTCCTTCTCAGCCACCGTCTGAGCTCGCATGATGTCTACGTCCCCGCACCGCTCCGGCAACAACAGCTCTACTAAGGATGTACAGTATTTACAAAAGACGTCTTCGTCTGAATGGACATTAGATACGTCCGTTATATAGTTGAGGTGGGCAAAGAGAAGGGACATAAGTAGACCACTGCGACGCAACACGATGCGAGGCGAATTTTAGGCAACAGGCTGTCGGGCTAAGTAACCCGGAATATAGAATAAATACCTGCACAAAATTATCTAAGGCAATCACCTCCCCACCTTTTGACAGTTCCTTACGACGGCATACATCTAATAGGCCAAGACATGGAATCCTTCATCTACGAGATGGAACTTGCTCATTGGGGCAGCGCTTATCTCACTCGAATATAACAAAGTATGGTTGCGTAAGTGAACCTCTAAGAAGCTTGTTATGAGATACCATTCAGTCGGGCGTAGACTCGTCTGATATGATGTTGTAGGAAGCAAAGGCAGGTATGTGTAACGGCCTATATCGGCCAAACTGCTGGTAACGGCCACTGAGATACCATTAGTTGCAGGCTGTGAATGGCAAGCTCTAGCGAGTTACTGCTAAGAGACCGCTGCTCCCAGGGCGGGCACCAGTAAATGACGCCCAGCCCCCACCAGTTTACTCTCCAGTCCTCTTAGGCTCTCAACGTCCCGTGGGCTTACCGGTAACCGGGCTGGTGGGGATCATTGCGACTGGCAGGGCGTTTAGAAACCGGACCTTATAGCAGTAGGACCGCCGGCATGGGCGTTTCCAGGTCCCCATGAGCTGAACGCTTCGACAACACTTACCAGTCAGGTGTGCATTTCGAGACGGGCAGATAGGGGGATTCCGAGTCTCTTGCGAGCAGAGGGCGGACGAACTGAGGGTACTTCTTCCCCGGGGCGCTCTACGGACAGCGTGGGGATCCCTTATCAATATAGGCGCCGGTCACGGTGCGGCGGCGACACGCCTTGCGGGTTGACAACTGGCAGGGGCGTTAAATATGGGCTCCTCGGATACGCCAGGAATACGCGCCGCATCGACCAGCAAGACGCCAGCCTGAGTATGCGACGACCTACCCTCCAGCCACCAGGCCTGCGCCTCGGAGAGCAGGTCTATCACGTCCGTGGTTTGTGGATGTCGGCATGCGGAGCGGTGGGTCAGCCATAGCCGGGACGCAAACGGCGCGTAAAAGTACGGTTTCTTGACGAAACTATCCAGCAACATCTCAGTTGCTTCGGTAAGCCTGGCCGATTGTTACGCATCAGTCTGATATATGAATCCTAATCGACACAAGAACTCACTATAGGTCCAAACACTGGCAAGCCCGTTGAGTCGCAAGCAGGCGTTCTGTCCGTTTGCTTGCCGCCTGCGTGGCCTCGCCGGGTACCCGACGTAGCCGTGGCTGGTCCGGGGGAGCAACACCTCGATGACAACCAAGCGGGCGCAGTAGATGAACGCTGACAGGTTTACCGTGTAGTTCCCGGGGCGCCGGAACCCAAACCCGTCGGACGTGAGGCCAAGGACTCCGCTGAAGTTGAGCAGGAGGGTTGACTTGGACTGGCCATCCTCGAACTCCTCCGTCATGAGGAAGTACAGCAGGCGCAGCGTGAGGTCCTCAAGAGCGGCTGAGACATAATCCCCCGCCAGACTCCGATCTATAGATACCTACTAGATAAAGAGCAGAAGTAGCGCCAGTACCAGACTAAACTGAAGACGATGGGGGGCTAGCTGCTGCGTCAGTTGTTGAGCTGTTCTCTGTGGCATCTACATGGTTGCTGACATTCGTATTCTCATCGTCACAGTCCTCCAAGCCCTCCCAGCCTTCACTGAGCACGTATTCAAAGTCACTATCATCATCAGTCTCAGTCGCACTTCTATTACTATCATCATCATCAAGATCTCCCTATGAGCTATGTTGGATCCCAGCTCTATCATGACAGTCTGCGGGGAAGCTAGGCGCTCGATTAGATGGTATCTCCATTGCCCTCGTCCTTGTTGTCGTACGTGACACACGTCGAGAAATTAGTGAACGCCTGTTCTAATCACTTCCAATGTTTTCTTTCTATGTTTGATATGTGTCGGCCCGATGGCCGGTCGTGTAGTTATCTCATTAGAAGATTATCCATTGTGGATCGTATCTCCATTCTGCCTGCCAAGAGCAGACCAGAGACCTGAGCTGTAGGTCTTCTCTAACTGGCATCGCGCCCTCCTAATTTCCACTTGAAATCGACTCTTATCTTTCAATTTCGCTTTTCTGATTCCAGACGCTTGGTTGATGACGCAAACATCTCCATCGACAGAAAGACTAAAATGCTCTTGGAAGCTGCGCTGCAGAAAACTTTCATAAAGATCCTCCAAGTCTTGAGAGCAATAGAGGGTTTGTTCCTCCGGCTGAACACACATTGCTAACTTATCCAATATCTTGTCTGATAACGTCGACTGGTTGCCTAGGGCTCTAGCGGCGGAAGATCGTACATTGCTGTCTTTCTCCTTGAAGAGTCCGACAAGGGCAGCCATGGTTGCATCTGATAACGTCGACTGCTTGCCTAGGACTCTAGCGGCGGAAGATCGTACTCTCCTGTCCTCGTGCTTGAAGAGTTCCACAAGGGCAGCCATGGTTCTGTCTGATAACGCCGACTGCTTGCCTAGGGCGATAGCGGCGGAAGATCGTACATTGCTGTCCTCGTCCTTGAGGAGTCCCACAAGGGCGGCCGTGGTTGTTTCTGATAACGTCGACTGCTTGCATAGGGTGATAGCGGCGGAAGATCGTACGTTGCTGTCCTTTTCCTTGAAGAGTTCCACAAGGGCAGCCATGGTTGTTTCTGATAACGTCGACTGCTTGCCTAGCGCTTCAGCGGCGGATCTTCGTACATTGCTGTCCTCGTCCTTGAGGAGTCCGACAAAGGCAGCCATGGTTGTTTCTGATAACGTCGACTCCTTGCCTAGCGCTTCAGCGGCGGATCTTCGTACATTGCTGTCCTCGTCCTTGAAGAGTCCGACAAGGGCAGCCATGGTTGCATCTGATAACGTCGACTGGTTGCCTAGGACTCTAGCGGCGGAAGATCGTACTCTCCTGTCCTCGTGCCTGAAGAGGCCCACAAGGGCGGCCGTGGTTGTGTCTGATAACGTCGACTGCTTGCCTAGGACTCTAGCGGCGGAAGATCGTACTCTCCAGTCCTCGTCCTTGAAGAGTTCCACAAGGGCAGCCATGGTTCTGTCTGATAACGCCGACTGCTTGCCTAGGGCGATAGCGGCGGAAGATCGTACATTGCTGTCCTCGTCCTTGAAGAGTTCCACGAGGGAAGCCACGGTTGTTTCTGATAACGTCGACTGCTTGCCTAGCGCTTCAGCGGCGGAAGATCGTACATTGCTTTTCTCGTCCTTGAAGAGTTCCACAAAGGCAACCATGGTTGTTTCTGATAACGCCGACTGGTTGCCCAGCGCTTCAGCGGCGGAAGATCGTACACTGCTGTCCTTTTCCCTGAAGAGTTCCACGAGGGAAGCCACGGTTGTTTCTGATAACGTCGACTGGTTGCCTAGGACTCTAGCGGCGGAAGATCGTACTCTCCAGTCCTCGTGCTTGAAGAGTTCCACAAAGGCAGCCATGATTGTGTCTGATAACGCCGACTGGTTGCCCAGGGCTCTAGCGGCGGATTCTCGTACATTGCTGTCCTTTTCCTTGAAGAGTTCCACGAGGGAAGCCATGGTTGCATCTGATAACGTCGACTGCTTGCCTAGGGCTCTAGCGGCGGAAGATCGTACTCTCCTGTCCTCGTGCCTGAAGAGTTCCAAAAAGGCAGCCAAGGTTGTGTCTGATAACGTCGACTGCTTGCCTAGGGCTCTAGCGGCGGAAGATCGTACGTTGCTGTCCTTTTCCTTGAAGAGTCCGACAAGGGCAGCCATGGTTGCATCTGATAACGTCGACTGCTTGTCTAGGATGATAGAGGCGGAATATCGTACATTCCAGTCCTCGTCCTTGAGAAGTCCGACAATGGCGGCCATGGTTGTTTCTGATAACGTCGACTGGTTGCCCAGGGCTTCAGTGGCGGAAGATCGTACATTGCTGTCCTCGTCCTTGAAGAGGCCCACAAGGGCGGCCGTGGTTGTGTCTGATAACGTCGACTGGTTGCCTAGGGCGATAGCGGCGGAAGATCGTACGTTGCTGTCCTTTTCCGTGAAGAGTTTGACAAGCGCGGCCGTGGTTGTGTCTGATAAGTGCCTCTGAGAATGCCCCAAAGTCTTCAAGAAGATGACTTTGTCTCCAGAAGCACCCAAGACACGGTTTAATACCTGATCAGGAACCTCTGATTCTGTTGTGAGTGTAGATGATCCTGTGAAGTCCCTCTCAAACAGTACCCATTGCGATAGTCTCTCTTGAATCTCATCTCGAAGCCCAGTTGGTAAGCCGAGTGCCTCGCTCAAGCAGTGCATGACGAGCCGTTGCTGGGTAGGTCCCAGAAGGTCGATCGGCTCTTTCTCGATTTCCTCGAAGAGGCCGCTAATCTCGCCTTCGCCCTCCTCACTCAGGAGCCCGGTAACAAAACGCCACATAATGTCGTACCGTCCAGTGTACTTGTTTTCTCCGAGAAACCCTTCAGGTGAGACTTCACAATGGACTTTCTTTCGGCTATTTAAATTAAAGTATCGGAGCATCTGTTTGTTCGTCCACATTCGCACAAAATATTTAGCAGCAAAGTACTCTTGGAATGTCAGGTGTAGAAAATGATGGCTTCGGGTAGCTGGGTCTGCTGCGCCATCTGACGTCCGTAGGAATGAGAGTCGCCCCAGAGTCTCGTAGACCGGCAAGCTAGTTTGCGCAGGTCGAATAAAGTCGCATACAGCGTCGCGGTGTACTGACTGAAACTCAATTAGATTACTGCACATACCGCTAAAAGCAAGGGACTCGAGTAGTTGGATCTCTTCCATGACATGGTGTTCAATCTCTCGTGACGACATGGCTTTGACATGTGGCTGCGATTCCTTCAATCTTTTGATATCCTTCCTCCAAAGCCGCTCAACAATAGCTTGATAGACTTGGGTCATCGTTTTCAATCTGTCGATATCTAAAGTCTCGTCCCAAACAATACAGAGTGCGTCCAACTGAATTGGGATCCGCACGAGGCTTCGCATTAGCGGGCTTTTCTGGAGGAATGATTGGATATTTCGGTACATGATCGGCGTCGAAACTGCTTTGAGATAAGCTTCTACCTGGTCGGAGCGGAAGCCGATTGTCTCGAGCTCGAGGTCGGGCTTCTGCAAATCATGCGGAAGCGAAATGTGCGGTCGGGTCGTAATGATAACGTTCGTCCTATTCAGCAGTTCTACAAGGAACCTAAACATGTCGGGGTTGTGTTGCTCGTCTAAAAGCTCCGAGATTTCATCAAGACCGTCGAGGATGAAAAGGTTGCCGCGGGACATGGAATCCTCCATATGCTGTTGTAAGGCGCGGGCAAGAGACTCGTCGTCTGGACGTTGCTGTAGATAGATATGACGAAGCATCTCCGTCGTACCGTACTTTGGACCATGCCACGTTTTGAGATTTCGTAGCGGCACCCAAAGTACTCTAGCAAATCGATATTGCCACATCCCTTTCTCAACAAAGTCGTGTACGATCTTCTTGCATAAAGTAGTTTTCCCGATGCCGGCACGACCTCGAATCAGTATTCGTCTCGCCTCTTTCATCTGGCCGTCGGGTTGCCTGCGCGGCTCAAAGAGCTTTCGTAGCTCTATCTCAGAATCCTTGTGTGGTGTTTCGACCATTAGTCGAGAAGTAAGGGAGAATGGTGAGGGCTGCAGTGACTGGTCTTCAGACTTCTGCTTCAAATTGTTCTCTTGTAGCGTCTCTATTAGTGCTAGGTTGATATAGCATTGGTCCATCGGCAAAGGATCGCCGGAAAGTCGTTCGATCTTTAGTCTCTCCTTGTTATAGTGCTTCTCGCATATCCATGTATCTGCTTGCTCGAGCGATGTCCCCTTGCGGATGTCTTCAAGGAAGGCTAGGATTTTGTCCACGACCAGGTGGTAATCCGGGTCGTCGGCTTTAGGGCCGCGGAACTTATTCATGAGAACATGGGTTCGTCTTAGTGGAAGTGGATTTGGGACGCAGTCAAGAACTGCCGAACTCTTGCTAACTAACTAACAGCTGTTAGCAAGTACGCTTGGAGATATGTGCTATAGATATCCTACCTGTTTCTTTGAAGGTGGCAGTAAATAGGACAGCAGAGGGATCTTGGCCGGGAGGTTTGTATAGCCCGTCTCGTAGAAAGTAAGCACCTTGTAGCCCTCGCCGTTCTTGTTGTCACAGAGCTGAGTGAATTCATTGACGAGGAGGTCGAATGTTGATGACTTCGCCCAATCTAGTAGGCTGGTCACGCGACGGCCTCGAATCGAAGCCCAGGTCCTTAGGCCTGGCTCTGCCCATCTAGCCACATTCTCGAATGATGTGCCTCGGAAGGGCGTAGCGAGGAATAGGATCCCGCGCGTTGCGTTTCGAACTGGTAGGTACTCATTCTTAGCCATGACGAGGGCCTTCGCTAGGATAATGCCCCCGAGACATGAAGCGACAAACAGAATTGGTCGGTCCTTGTAACTACGCTGGTTGTTTGTTGCGGATGGTCGTGCTTGGATACCGGCAAGTAGCCGTAGAGCAAATTCTTGAAGTGTGTCTTCTTCTGCGTCTAGCGTCTCAAATAACTCAGCCGGCCAGTCACAAGTGAAGATACGAGCGTTGGAGACTTCCGCCGGTAGCATGTTTTTGTCCTGTAGCCAGTTTACATTGTGCCCGTCCTTCATCTTGAACTCCCAGGTATCCGGCGACCTGGTATCGAGGCCGTGTACGGCAATAATGTCGATGCCTCCCTCTGGTTCGCCATTTCCGTCGGCAGGTAGGTTGACCTGGCGCAGCTGTACGCCGCGCTGTTGCGTATTGGTTTCCGCCGGCAATGTCGTTGTCGTCGTTGTGGGAGAAGGAGGAGGGGGAAGAGGAGCATACGCGGGCCCATAAGGCCCGAGGAATACGGCGCTTGCAACTCCAGCCAGGAGAAGGAAGAGAAGGATCAAACCAGCTGACACTATTACCACGGAATCATAGGGGTCAGATTCGCGATTTAGTGTCATCGCTTCCACCGAGTAACCCGTCTGGATATTGAGGGGATCGATAGTTCGCAAGCTGGGCGGGTCGCATCAGCTATGAGGCTAGAGTACTGCGTTCCCAATGATGGTAGGTGATGAAAGTACGGGGGTAAATGCCTATTCACTAAGGGGCGAAGATATGAAATGGAAAACATGAACAGCGAGCTGCGCCATGGGGCGGCAAAAAAGTAGGAACATCTGAACAAAGGCAGTGTCTCGCGCTGATCGGGTTGTCAATGTCAGTAGGACATGATTCAGGCAGAAAGTCACTATTCAATGCAGTGTGATACAGGCGCCTAGGCGATTCACAACGGCTGGAAGTTGTTTGTATGCGAAGACTACAGGCTTTGATTTCGAACACCCATGCATGGGTACGGCCAGCCCCTTGCTGAAGCCCACCAGTCATCACCTTCGAGGGCCTTGGCCGAACGCTGCTCCGCCCGATCATCAGCAAGAGGGGGGGTGTTAGAAGGCCTGACGAATGCGGTGCCCCCGCATCAATCTCATAGTCTCGAGCTTATGCCGCTGCGTCCAACCTGCATCAGCGCCGAGGCCCATAATCGCCATTCATCAACTCGCTTTATCAGAGTGCGATATCGAGATTTGGGGCCAGCATGAATTGTCTTAGGTCTCTGAGCCCACTTGCGAGTATGTGATGCAGCAGCTTTACAACACCGATCTGCGGCGAGGCTTAAAAGTACGTCTATGGAGTATATAACAACGGCTTGCAGTACAAGGTGGTCCGATGTCGAGTTCCCATTGAACAGGCCAACGTCGAGTAAATGGCACAAACAAGTCGAGTAAGTTGTGCTGGTCGCTTGGATTTGTATATGCTAATGGCGTCTATAGTGCGCTCCCTTCACGAGACGGCTCCTCACAGACGGCAGCCCAGACACCGACCTCCCATCGCTCCTCCCAGCGTCAAGACGGACGGAGGATGACGATCTAGAATGCCTCGCCGCGAACCACCAGCCGACTGAAATTCTGGAATGGGTGAACGAGGAGCTTAATGTCAACCGACTAAAAGATATCCACGACTGGCTATGGATCGTGGGCCGGCCCATGCCACCACGTTCGCTTCACTACCAGCGCCTCCTTAACCGAGAGGTTATAATCACGGAGAAGCTGGATATGCATCTCGTGTGGACGAACGGACGCATCTTCATCAAGCCTCTGCCACGCTATCTCCTTGAGCAGAGCTTTTGGGAAAGATACCTATGTTCTCACGAGGTGCCTCTCACGAGCATAGTACACGAGCGTGCTCTAGGATTTCTCTTCTCGTATGCAGCGCTCATAATGCATGAGAGCGACTTTCATCTTGCCAAGGACATGCACCTCATTCCCAAAGAGGTTGAGTGGCCGGCGTGGAGGGTAGCAGTTGGACAGCTGTTGGACGGTCCTTCCATCTACTCCCGCATCGACCCACGTTTCCACTATGGGGAGCTCCGCCTCAGCCGGCTTAACAAAATATACTTCTTCTGGCAGAAACCGCTCTGCGGCTACACGTCTCGCTGGAACCAGTACGGCTCGTTCTTTCACGACAACTTTGCGCTACTAGCCAGCTCGACCGTCTATATCGCTGTCGTCCTGACGGCGATGCAGGTCGGTCTTGCCACGGAGGCTCTCCAGGGCAATGAAGCATTCCAGTCGGCCTCGTACGGCTTCACCGTATTCTCCATAGCAGGGCCGCTGGCCGCTGCCGTTCTAGTCGTTGTGGTATTCTGCTACCTGTTCATTGGCAATTGGGTTGCCACACGACACTACAGCAGGGAGAGGTTAAAGCGAATCCAGGGTCGGTAAACCTGGCCTCGACATTATCAGCGGCTGGATGGCCTCAACTGGCGAGGGTTCAATACGGCTCGCTAGGTGACGCGGTAATAAGAAAGTCTTGTACAATAGTCTGGATCCATGAGGCTTGCTTATGCGTCACGTCGCTGTACCTAGACCGAAATGGGAATACCGTCCTCGTGAAAGGCTGCCCTCCATTCGCAGGTATGCATCACTATCACTGTGGCACGACGCATATGTGCTTTTTGCTACCTGCACGATGCTGGGGCATAAGCCGCATTACATAGATAATTGGCCATAGAAGCAGAAAACCAACGGTTGATTGGACGCCGTCTGTCGTAATCATGGTAGAAGTGAGGCCGGTCAAGGGTCCATCTTTTCTTTTCTTTCTTGCCGCTATTCCGTTGTTGCCATGCAAACAGCCCGACCTTAGGCCCTAGCCCACTTGACATACGCCATTAGACGCTGCAATCAGCCCCAAGTGATTTTACCAGTAAGCCTCTTGGCTGCTCACGAGTCCGCATTGCGACGAAGGCGGGTGTTGCGAGTGGTAGCTTGAGGTGAAATTGAAGTAAAGCTCTTATCGACATCGGACGCCATGTGGGGCCTTAAGCGGCCTCCCCCGGTCGCCATAGCGGTGACGTGGTGGGCGTAAAACATGAGATTTCCATCATGATCATTGGAGTTGTAGACGTTGAGGGAACGAGGGTTCACGTGTCCTTTCGCCCACAGCCTTAGTGCGGCTGAGCAGCGCGTTGCTGGTGAATCAGAAGTACGGCAGGTTTTGATATCTTCCGCAATCTTGACCGCCAACTCCCTGGCTTTCCAATCCTCCTTGGCGGCCGCGTTAGCTGCACACTTGGCATAGGGATTCTCCTTTAGTCCGACCGTGCTCCGCTGGATGGTATCAACCTTGATGGCTCTAGTGTCGCGGGTGATATTCTCGCTGGCTGTTTTGTTTCCGTTCGTTAGCTTTCGATGGCTTGGTGGAGATGTACGATTTAGAGTAGTTTGCTGCATTTTGACAAGCAGGGAGGGGAACTGCGATGAGCGTGGCTCACACGGCTTGGGGTTCAATGGGTGTCCGTTTGCGGTGTCGATAAACTTGACCCGATGGTGCGCTAGCCTCAGTTGCTCCTGTGGCCATGGAGTTGCCATGGTGCCCAAGTCGCTGTAGGCTTCGCGACGAGCAAAAGGCTATCCAATCGACCGTTCAGGGCTCCGATTTCCAAAAGTTCGGTTGCTGCTTTGGACACTTTTCCCTTTTGCCGTTGCGTGACACTGGTTTTACTTGGTCGCATCTTAGTCATCAAAGTTGGTACACTATATCCACTCTCGATCAGATTCCCCGCCGATCCTCCCCTCACTCTCCGACCTAGTCACCTTTTAGCCAGAGACACTATGGTCGAAAAGCAAGGCCTTGCGTGTCGTGAGTACACCATTTCGTAGGACGACAAAGGCTAATTTTGACCGCGAGTTCAACAGCTCTGGAATCGTCCAGTTCGCGCTTTCATATAAACGGCTCAAGAGAGGCGCCTGAGGACCTCGATGCTCATTTCAGCTTGAACAAGACTTTGCTTGTTGAAGACGACAAAAATGGATATCACACCGCTATCTCTTCGCCTGAAGCCGCATCATTAGACTTTAACGAAGCCCAGTTGGCTGACCAAACGACGATGCCACCGGTGGCTTGTAGACTTTATCTAGAAATGGTGGATATTCAACAGTCCTTACAGCCGCTCATTCTGAGTAAAGGCCATGACGATGATTGGGAGGACGTTTTGGAGCTCTGTAGATTGCTGGAACGAGCTACAACAGGCCTGGTGCTCATCGTTGCCCAGGAAATGTCCGCGTTGTCTAGCATAGGACAGTGACGAGACCATTGACGGCCTGAGCTGGTTTAAAGGTTAATCAGTCATCGCTTGGAGGCATTAAATGAAATAGCATAAATGCGTGGAGTGAGCGTGATAATGCCGTTATCGACGTGGACTGCCATAGAAGGATTTGGAAAAGGACATTCAACGAGACAATATTTGGATGGAGAGCACTGTCCAGCATCGGAGTAAGCTCGCTAACTGATGAGTTAGCTACGTCGTGTAGCTATGCGCCCGCCGATGCTAATCGGGATTGACGACGAACACTTGACGTCTACGCTGGAATGCCGAACTTGCCTTGGGAGATGTGTCTTGATGCAGGAAAGGAACCGATGCTGGCCAGGTGACTGACAAAGTGGTATATGTGAATAATGATCATGAAGTGTTCCACAATTATATCTTTCTCATACCATGCGTATTTCCTTGGATTCTCGAAATTGGACCCTAACACTGCGCACTTCATCGCGCGATGGCCGATTTGCCATCCAAAGTTGACAGAGTCAGGACTTCGTGTTAACCGTATTTCTGACAGTTTAACTCCGCGCCTATGACGGTGCCTAAAGTGAACGCTCGACTTAAGCTCGAGCCGAATGTCTGAAGTAGGAGACACATCGTCGTGCGAGGATACGCTCCCGGTTCCAGTCGCCTGCAGGCTGATTCGGGTAATGCTGGAACGAGGCATCGCTGAGGTGGCGGCCTACCTATCGAGTCGTTGATCCGTAACCTCGATTCTTGCCATTTATCGTTTTCCCAGTCGTCGACACAGAAACGGAACGGTATTATCCCAGGTCGCACAATTATCAATAATACTAATGTTCTCCTTCACGTGGCTTTCAGCTTGGGAACAGATCTCGAGACACTGGCGGGCAGTCGTCCACTCACGCAGTCTAATGAGTTGCGCCACGTCATGCTCCAAGCTCATCTGCGTCGACGACCTCACGATGAGCCGGTCCATCAACTGTTGCATATGTTTTTCTACATCCGCGACGGTCTGGGCCAAACGTTCCCTGCAAGCTTAGAGGCCCTCGTTGGTGACGTGTTCAGGATAGAGGTTCTCGTGAGTATGAGCGTCATAGCCTGCAGAAGTTGTTGTAGAACTCTACTGATGCGGTTCGCCAACTGCGCGCTGAGTTCAAGACATTTCTGTGTGCTTTCTCTTTCTGCGCGGATTCAGTGTAGCTCTTGTGTATCCGCATCGTCTCCACCCAGTGTGCTCGATTATAGCGTCAAGCTTAGCGTCAATGTTCTCGAGACGAGCCTCGAGATCATCGGTTGTCGTTTTAATCATTGTTTGATAGTTTTCGAGATTCTCGGCGGTCGTTACGGATCGGCGCCTGTTCGAGACACACGGTCAGGTGATTCAATTCTGTATGGGGCACGAAACTTACAGTTGCGCATCAGCGAGGGCTATTTCAATAGTGGACTTGTAGCCCGCGAGAAGCTGTGTAAACTCGTCGATGCCATCGCCCATATACTGCAGCTTGGCCTAATCACGGGTGCTAGCGCGATCGCCGCTAGACCGCGAAGAGCATCGCAGGAGCTCTTGCTCGAACTCCTTGCACGCCTCGTCGCCTCGTCGCAAAGGCGTGTCAAGCGCAGATAGTTCGTTACCGGGCGCGACGTCGATAGTGTCGGTAAGCAAGTGCAGCACTTCACTCACGGCTCTGAGCTCGTCGGCGAGATCCCGCACACGCTTGGGTTGGGTCCGGATGCCCTGAACTGTGTTGTACAGGGCGATGCTGGACTTAGAAGCGAGCAACGCAAAGCTTAGCACCCCCGATGCCAGGCCGATAGCTTCTGCCATTCCATCGAGGAACTTGTAACGTAGGATGGACAGGTGTCCAGTCTGCTAAGAGCAGCGGAGTCGGCGTTCCGTGGTACACCTGAGACGGGCTTGCGGGATGCAGGAGCCAATCAGAGATCGCGGCTGTGCACGGCTACTCCCAGCTTTAACCCCGGGGCAGCGACGAATCCCAAGTCAAAGTCCAAGGCGTGGGTCTGCGCCAGCTCGTCAGGCTGGCTCAGCTTCAAGCGCAAGCATTTTGCTTGGCATTGTGTAATTGTTAGCGCGACCTCTCGTCGCAATGATTCTTATGCTTCTAAGTGCTATGCCCGGTAGCCTGGACTTTACACTCAAAAATGATCTAGACTTCAAAAGCCGAAACAGTTTGCCTCAGTTCACCTACCTTACCAGGACCGATAAGCCAGCTCCGTCGTTCAGGTCTCAGTCATCTCCACTTTCGATGGCTGTATGTTTTGCAATGAAATTTATGGGCAGTAGCTTCCAGCTAGTAGTGCGTGCGGATGCCGAGGCGTTCAGCTTGATGTCGATAGGCGACATCGCACCTGTATGCGTAAGCGCGTGTGTAAGGGGCTGCTAATTCCAGCGGTGTTAAGATGGCTACTGTATTCGGATGACTTGGTGATGATATGCAATCGCCCACAGGGGATTTGCATCTGCGGTCAGTCAAGGCTTAGTCCGGATCACGGCGTCAACCGCCCCGAACGATTCGCCTAGAAGAGGCGAGGCTTTTAGGGGGACATTCATAGCTGCCAGCCGTCTACCAAACAGTGAGCCTGAATGTCTAAGGACAGCCTTTAACCGCCAGGGCCATCCACATCGATAAGAGCGTGTCTCATTAGCCGCCGCCCTTCACTTCACACATCAAGTGCGGACCCCCTGGCGAACGCAGCAGATGGAGAGGGAAAACTCTAAAATGCATTCCAAGTACCATCCGGAGAGTGTTTAGCGCAACGACCAGTACCTTAATCGTCATCCACTTCGACGAGCAGAGTAGCCGTCTGCACAGCCAAGGATACCACATTATGGCGGATCCGAACAGCAGTGGCTTCCGTGCTCGAAGCCAGTGTGGCGCTCCACGGTGCCATCCGCGACTACAAAAGCCAGACCAAAGACGCTCGAGGACTCGAAGCAAAAGTTGGTGATTTGAGCGGGGTCCTAAGCGCACTCTTGGAGACGATTGCAACCAACCCAAGTCTCGACTTTGAAGCTCTTCAACAGCTGCTCCACGTTATTATGCTATGACAGAAGTATCACTCGATACACAAAACGTTCCGGCGACGCAACGCGCCCGAGCGTTCAGGACTGGACTACGCAGAAGTACCTCCACAAAGACATCAACAACTTCAAAGAAACTAGCAGCGCACGAGTCCACCATCAACATGACTCTAGCGAATACCAACATATAAATATAACCACCTCGCGATCCATAGGCGCCGCTCTTATCTTCAATTCCATCAGTCGCATCCCCGCCATATCGCCCGGAGTGCTTAAGGATGACAAGGATATAACCTCCGACACCACCAGCGACCTACCAACATCTCCAGGATATAGTCAGAATATACGCCCAATAATCCGCCCTGCTCGCACAATACGAAGCTACGTCTATAGAATCTACCCAGTTCTTCGGACATCTATCAGCACGCAAGCACGTCAAAAATAGTCTGAGTAAAGCTGGGCGGTTTATTCAGTCTCTTACAGGCCATATACGAAGACGCGACGCGATTATCAGCAGCCGATTAGAGGCAATATCTCTATACGAAGGATTCCCTAAGCCCGTCGTCTCCCAACTAGACCGACTCCAAAAGATAGAAGAGAGTCTCAGCCAGTCAATTCACATTATATCTCAAGTCAACAAGCTAGCCCATGATCGAAACAATACCTTTGAAGATCGAACCTTGGTAGACAACAAGTACGCTCTTTCGCTTTCGACAGTGGACGATCTCGTAGCGGCCCGACGACCCATCCTCACCGGTTGGTCTCGGCATTTTGGTGGGCAGGTCACTGACAAAAGTGTGCAAAAGTCTAGAGGCCCTGACGAAACTGTTAAACTTTGTGGCATACATGGACACCCCCGATTCTGTCTGTTGTGCCTGTCGACGACTTTGCGTGCCTGCCGAAGACCGAAGATGCTCCAGATCCAAACGTTTTGGACCTGGACTTACGCTTGTAGCCAGGAAAGCGATCGATCGAGTCAATTGGCATTTATATAAGGGAGTGAAGGTGATGATTGCGGTCCCTCCTAACAGAGATCTTATCCTTGCCAATGCTCATGGTTTTGTGAACATGCCTTATTGCTTGGGATAAGATGGTGGACCACAGCTCGAGGGGACCTAGAGTGTTGTTCAAGGCTCGAAGCGGAAGCTCTAGACTAGAACCCTCTGATTCGCAGTCCCTTCAGTGTCATCATCGAGCGCTTTGCAGCAAACACAACTGCCGTTTCTGGCCTCCAAAACCTCGAGTCATCGAACCATCTAACCATATCGCTGAGTAGTCTAATCGATTTAAGTGACCTACCAATGAAGGATCACTCAACGGCGAGGGCGAGAGGATTTTGAGCAATGCGACCGACGGTAGAACCATGATTTCGGTATGATAGTGAGGGCGGCGCGGCCGGCGCCGCCTGCAATCGTCGTCCAAAGAACAGGTGTTGCTGTTCCTGTCAGCGCCAGGGTTCTCGTAGACTTGTAAGAGCCGATGTACTTAGTAGATTATGACCTGAACATTTATCCTCGTTTTGTCTGTTTCGAATTGTATGCTTAGCGTGGGGATCTGGCTCTTTCGGACAAAGCTTCTTACCGTAGATGAGGTCAATCAGGCAACCTGAATGCTCGGGACTGGCTTCGTTGAGACTGGAAACACCACGGCCTACTACTTTGAGAATGCTCAAGGTGCATGCGTATGCGGGACTAGTATCACGGCTCCTAAGGGGCAAACTACTTTGGATGCTTTCGGGTCAGATTCGAATTGTTTGTTCAGCGCGGGTGCGATGGCGGTCCTCAAGTTTCCCTCCGTTCGGACAGACTGGTTAAACAGAGCTGTTACACCGGCACGGCGAGTATGGGCTCATCTGCATTGAACTTGCGCTGTTTAGGCGAGGCTGAGTCGGTCCGTCGTCTGGCTGTTTCGCGGGGCCATCGGCACGGCGAGGATCTTTCGAGCATCTTGGCAATCCCATTATGTCCATTCCTTCTTGCTGCAGTGATCGCTGTGTTCCCATCGCAATCCTCGATGGCGGGATCAGCACCAGCCCCGATCAGAGTAGTTACAACTGACTCATCGCCCTGGCTAGCTGGCCAGAAAAGAGGCGATCTATTGCAAACTGATCTCGAGTTGACATCCACATCTGGCCTATGCACCAGAGCCTCGACGACTGTGTTGTGCCCAAAACGTGCTGCAATCCATAAAGGCGTTACCCCCCTGATGTTTTTTGTATCTGGCTTTACGCTTTCCCGTAAGAGCCGTTCAATAACCTGAACATCTCCAGCTTTTGCTGCGTTATAGAACTGTGCGATACAACGACATTCATCCTCAAATGAGATGTGACCGGTTTTTCGAGATAGGAAGTCCAAAATCCGGTCCTGACCACAAGTAGCAGCAGTAACGAATACCTCCTCGCTGATAATCATCTGGTCGCCTCGCCGGTCGAGAAGTAGTTTCATCACTTGCTCGCCAGCCTCTTCGTTTCCTGCTGCAGCCTTCACCACCTCTTCAGTAATGGTGATCTGGTCGCCTCGCCGGTCGAGAAGTAGCGCCATTGCTTGGTCAGAGAAGCTGCTAGCAATGGTGTGTACCATCTCCTCAGTGATGTTAATCTGGTCACCTTTCCGATCAAGAAATAGTATCATCACTTGCTCGCCAGCCTCTTCGTTTCCTGCTGTAGCCTTCACCACCTCTTCAGTAATGGTGATCTGGTCGCCTCGCTGGTCGAGAAGTAGTTTCATTACTTGCTCGCCTTTCCAATTGTTCCTTGCTGCAGCTTTGACTACCTCTTCAGTAATGGTGATCTGGTCGCCTCGCCGGTCGAGAAGCAGTTTCATCACTTGCTCGCCAGCCACTTCGTTTCCTGCTGCAGCCTTCACCACCCCTTTAGTAATGGTGATCTGGTCGCCTCGCCGGTCGAGAAGCAGTTTCATCACTTGCTCGCCGTTCCGACGGTTTCTGGCTGCAGCTTTCACCACCTCTTCAGTAATGGTGATCTGGTCGCCTCGCCGGTCGAGAAGCAGTTTCATCACTTGCTCGCCAGCCACTTCGTTTCCTGCTGCAGCCTTCACCACCCCTTTAGTAATGGTGATCTGGTCGCCTCGCCGGTCGAGAAGCAGTTTCATCACTTGCTCGCCGTTCCGACGGTTTCTGGCTGCAGCTTTCACCACCTCTTCAGTAATGGTGATCTGGTCGCCTCGCTGGTCGAGAAGCAGTTTCATCACTTGCTCGCCGTTCCGACGGTTTCTGGCTGCAGCTTTCACCACCTCTTCAGTAATGGTGATCTGGTCGCCTCGCTGGTCGAGAAGCAGTTTCATCACTTGCTCGCCTTTCCAAGTGTTCCCGGCTGCAGCTTTTACTACTGCTACGTCTACCGACGTATCAGTATCCGCTCGGTCTAGCATAGCCTTCAACACCTCAACGTGACCTTTTCTAGAACACACTTCAAGCGGCGTCGTCTGCTTCGAGTCTCTATATGCTGAATCAACATATGGGATGAACGACGTCTCGTGTGCAGACGCTTCCGCGAGACCTTTCCCTGGCAAGAGCGCATGATCAATGAGCGATGGAATTCCCCATTGAGCAGCCACATGGAAGACCGACAACCAAACAGGCTCCCAGGGTTTCCTCTGAGAGTAATATTTGAGCCAGCTCTTACGCTCCCCTGAAACGATGGCGAAAAACCGAGCCTGCCCATCGTCGATTCGGAACTCACCCTTAGCCATGTGAGCGTGCTCCGGCCAAAATTCCGTCGCGTATGAAGCAAGATCGCTTCTATCTTTTACCTCTCCTCCACCCTTTGGGTGCATGGACTCCGCAATAAGACAGCCAACGCAGCGGCTCGCTAGCGCATTGTGTGCCTTCAGCTCGGAGATGGAGATGTTTCGTCCTGCGCCGGTGACTAGGAAATCTCTGACGGATTGGTGAAGTAGCAGGACCTTCTCGTCCCGAACCACGATTATCAATCGACAGGCAGCGAGTACCTCGGCTGTGAACTGGATGCGCTCCTCTTCGCCTTCGTTCTGGTAGAGGTCGCAGGCAGAGGCCAGCTCCCGTGTACTCATGGGACGCCGTGCTACCATAACGATGCCGAGCAGTCGTTTGATCGTTTCCGGGTCTTCGTCTTGTTGGAGTGCCGTATCGAGAAGTTCTTGGTAGAGCCATTGAAGTCCTTCGGGGATCTTCTCAAGGCGTGTGACGGCATTTCTTGAAGCGACCTTCTCCAGCTCCTGACAGGCTAAACCGACCCAGAGGAAGATGCCGCCAGCCTTTTCATGAAGCACCCGCGCAACATTGGCAGCTACCGTAGCAGTGTAGTGCTTCATCTCTTTGAGGTCAGCTACCTTCTCGTTGATAAACCTGGAAATATCTCGTCCAGATTCTTCGAACGATGCCAGGTTTTTGTTCAGGAATGCCTGCAGGTGCTCTCTAATCTCCAAGTATGGCCTGCTGGTAATAAGGAGGCTGACATTCAGCTTGCCGCCTGATCGATCTCGCTCGAAGGTCTCCTTAATTTGCTTCAGCAGTGTGACCTGCTCGTCCTGCGTGCACTCGTCTAAGGCGTCAACTACGCAGTACTTGCGGCCGGTAGCTGTATCCGCACATGCCTTCATGAACATTGCCCAAACCCCATCGAACGAACCAAAGGCTCGGGCTCCGCGCTCCTCATACTTGGGGAGGATGTATTCAATCAGCCGCGGGTGCTGCTGCACTAGCTGCAGGAGGAGCCCGCGGACGACTGCCGTGGCCGTTCTGCGCGTGTCATAGCCCGAGTCGCAAAAGAAGTACGCGAGCGTTTTGTTCGGAGTCCTGGAGAAGGTCTCCGATAGGGCCTCGGCAAGGAACATGGACATGGTCGACTTGCCCGTCCCCGGGTTTCCATGGAGCCAGAGGACATCCGTCGAAGCTAATGTCGACTCCGGCGTGTTGGCAAGCCAGGCGGTCAGCTCGTCGGTTCCGAGGATCCAGGCACAGGTGCCTTTGGCGCGTTCGCCTTTCTTCCGCTTCAACGCCATCATGTCCTCGTATGGATCGGTGAGGAAGAGATCTCGGAGACATTCTCTCGCTTCGGGCTTCTCTTTCAAGGCGTCTGCAGGTTATGAGCACAGCACAGGAACGGCGAAGGGGGGCCTTACGGTCTCGATCGGTAACGATTGGTTTCGCTGCGGGGGTGTCAGCTCCAGAATGTCGACCGAGCGGTCTTCGATTTGATCACTCACGTTTTGTCCGACGCTGAACGACGGCCAGGGCGTCTGCACAGAGCCTGCGCAACTCCGCGGAAACACTCTGAAAAGAGCGGTCGTCCGGGCCGGAGTACTTGTTCAACTCGGAATGATTCGCCGCGAGCGGGATCCTTTGTAGACCGGGAATACACGCCGACGCCTCATCAACTACCTTCGACGTGTCAACATCCATCGGCTGGGGCAAGGCAGATGGGACAAACACACTCTTCCTCGACCAGGCCCTCCCATACGGAGCATCTTCTTCAAGTAATCGGTATCGTATATCTCGAAGAAGCAGGATGTCGCGATAGACAGAGTGTTCCGCATCCGACAAAATTGGTGCAGCGTGTCCATCAGGTTTTCATCGTCGTATGCCAGGTTGCGGACGATGCCGTCGTGGGAGCCAGTAAAGCGCGAAAACCAAGTCACAATCTCGGCCAGAGACTGGAACTCGGATCCGCGGAGAGGAGAACCGAGGAAGACGACGCCGACTGTCAAGGTAACGATGTGCCTGAAGGCGTCGTCCGAATTGGCGTACAGGAGCGCCTGGGCTGTCAGCCTCGTCCGCCGCTCTGAAGACATCTCCGGTCACTCACATGTTGGATTACGTTGCCGCCCAGGCTGTGGCCGACGAAGACAACCGGTCGGCTTGCCGTGGTTCCGTCCCGGAAGTCGCGGATGCTGCGAATGAGCTCCTCTCCACACAGCGACAGGCGTATCTTTGGCGCGTCGGCGTGCCACCTCGAGTCGTAACTGTAGAGGAGAATGCGCGAGCGGGGAACTACAGTCGGGAGCATGTTGGGGTCTTGGAGCCATTTCACATGGCGGCCCGGGGATTTCGGGTCCTTCCACGTCCAGGACCAGTCGACGTTGGCACCAAGACCGTGCACGGCGACGATGCTACGGAGGTTAGTGCGTTCGGACCCGACACCTGGGAACCTACTCGACTTCGGGTTCGGCACCCTCGTACACCGCATCCAGGGCCGGGCGGCTATGCGGGATATGCAGCGTGCGTCAGCGGGAGAGAACTCAAGAGAAGGGGCCACCTTACCATGGCGTTGAACGACGGCTAAGTGCTTGCGGTTCGGGTAGTAGACGGCTGATGGCGACTAGATGATCGTGCTGGATATGCAATGAACGTGATTGATTTGGGCAGCGATCCTGTACGACGCTGTAGGATGGGTTGACTGCGATGTAGTTGGAAACGTGATGAGATGTGTGCCCAGAGCCCAACGTCTATGAGCCTGCGTCAGCGGCCATCTGGATTGACAGGTAGCAAATCAAATGCGATGTCTTGCTCGCAGCCTGCATCACCTGCCGGTGGCTTGCCCTCGGCAGTGCCGCGGCGATCTCACCTCGGAAATACCCCCGGTACACCAGCAAGCCCAGATGTGTGCATCAACATAAGTACCTAACTGTGCTACTGTAAAAGACAGCCCGTGAGAACACGGGATTACTTTTGCCTCGTTCAAAGCGCTACATCATCCCAATATCCCACGTCGCGATGGCACCACAAGTGAGCTATGTGACCCTCTCTGGTGTGGGAGGTCGATGGGGTGCACGGGTAGTGAGTACTCTATCTACCAGATAAGGTTAAGAGAGACGTATTTAAATAAGCAGCATTCCATGGTCTTAAGACACCCTACCTAGTAAGGTGATCGTGTCTGTCCTTTCAACTTATCTTCTCTTGCACTTGCTCTTGACTTCCCTTAGCAGCTTTGTTGACCAGCCAGTGGTCGAATGCCGTTGTGTCGTCTTTGTCTTTTTGCTGACTACGTCGGTCTTGATTCGGAGGGCGGGCTATAGGAGGGTCTAGCGCGCTTCCTTGTGCTGTGGCTTGAGGTTGAAATCGAAATAACGCTCTTATTGACACTGTACGCTACGGGCGTTGGTTCGCCTGTTGAAGACTACCTTTACCCTCGAGGCGGAATGTAGTCGTTTCGTGAAGGTCTCCTGCGTCGGAGTTGTTATAGCGTCAGCGATCTGCTGCTGAGGCATATCGTCGACATCCCGAAAGGCAATATACTCCGACTGATCCTTGATGAGTTATTGGAGCTAGAATGCCATCCGTGAGAATTACGGCAGTCGGATGACCTGTGGAAACGGGAGAGACGATGTGCGTTGGCAAAAGCGGGGTAGAGACTTGCCTGAAGCCTTTGGCAAACGTACTTTGCGCATCATCGTGGACACGTGGCTGATATTGTGTTAATTCGTGCTAGCTCACTTGCGGCCCCGCCAAATTGCCTGGCCGTTTTCCACTCACGGCTGTGAGACTCCAACGCCGACGCTCAATTGGAATGGCTGACGGTGGTTGGCAAGGCCTTCAGGCTGTTGGCACGATGATCAGCCATTCAGGCTGCATACACTTTTGCGTCAGCAATTAACCTGAGGCTCCTCAGGACCACGAGTAGTCCGAAGATTTCATGTTCAAGGTTGCAAGATGACCCTTTGAGAAAACGACCAGTAAAGTACTGGTAGGTGTATTTTGAGGCCTGGCGACGCACTTTTGGCATTAGCTGCGCATGAGGATCAGCGTATTCTTGTCGTGCTGAACGGCTCATGAAGGGAGCCTTGTAATGCTTGTTCCATCCGGCCACAGGGCAGCACGTTCTTCCCAAATCTGACAGCGATGGCATCGCATCCAGACCAGGTAGGCACTCTGTTCCGTCTTTGACCGGGAACGTAAGCATGGTAATCGAACTCGATAGTCGCCTCCCTTGACCCAGAAGCTTCTAGGAAGTACTGGTTCGCAAGAAAGTAAAGCGTCGGGGCTAATTGAAAACGACCTCGCTTCCCTTTTGCCTGCCTCTCGGCGGACGAAGGATGATGATTTGGCGGCGCCCGCTTGTTCTTCCGTTCTCGATTCTGCCAATGTCAAGTTCGATCAGTTGCGACTAACTGCCATTCATGACTGGGTTGATGAGGAGACCGATCTCCGTCGGCTAGCCGATATCCACAACTGGCTATGGATCGCGGGTCGGCCCATGCCGCCGCGTCCGCTCCATCAGCAGCGCCTGCTCAACCGCGAGATCGTAATCACTGAGAAGCTGGACCTGCACCTCGTGTGGACGGCCGATCGCATCTTCGTCAAGCCGCTGTCACGCTTCCTCCTTGAGCCGCACTTCTGGGCGAAAGTCCTCCAGTGTCATAGGGTGCCCGTCTCCAACGCAGACCCGTGCAGCTGCGGTGGTCGGCGGGAACGCGCGCTCGGCTTCCTCTTCTCGTATGCGGCCCTCATAGCGCACGAGAGCGACTTTCACATCGCCAAAGAGATGCACCTTATTCCCGAAGAGGTACAGTGGTTGGCGTGGCGGACGGCCGTGCGGGAGTTCCTAGGCACTTCGTTCGTCTACCCCTGGATCGACCCCCGCTTTTACTATGGGGAGCTCCGCCTCAGCCGGCTCAACAAGATCTACTTCTTTTGGAAGACCCCGTTCCGCGGCTATATGTCTCGCTGGAACCAGTACGGCTCATTCTTCCACGACAACTTTGCGCTGCTGGCCAGCTCGACCGTCTATATCGCTGTCGTCCTGACGGCGATGCAGGTCGGTCTCGCCACGGAAGCTCTCCAAGACAACGGAGCCTTCCAGTCGGCCTCGTACGGCTTTACCATCTTCGCCATCTTGGGGCCTCTGGCCGCTGCAGCTTTAGTTATAGTCACGTTCTGCTACATGTTCATTGGGAATTGGATTGCCACACTGCGTTACAGCAGGAGGAGGTTCGAACGAATCGAAGGTCGGTAAAAGTTGGGGGGCGGGGTATCATCGCGCCGCAGTATGACAGCGTTAGGCAACATCCAGTCCGTCGCGCTAATGCCGCCTCACGTCAGCCAATCTGTCCCCGTGATCTGGTCAACTCACAGCTTGTTCAGCAGCCTCGAAGTCCCCGTACGCATTGCCCTCTCGTCTGCCTAGCCTACCTCATCAACTTCTCCACCCGTCGCATGCTGAATACTGGGAAGCATTCCGCCAAAGCTTTCATCGCGCACCCATTGCCGAAGACTTGGCGCGACGCTTCGCGAACGTAAGTTCCAATGGCGACGCCAGCTGTAGTGATCCAACGAACGAATGGGATGCAATCTGGTGTATTCCTCTTTCTGGTTTTCATCGCTGCTGGCGTGTACTTGTGGATGTCGATGAAGACCAGGCAATCCTCAACCACGCGACTACAACCCAAAGCTGTACAGAAACGCTCCACTGCTAGATTGCCGCCAGAGGCAGAGGAGGTCAGTCGACCCGATCGCTCCGTAGCACCATACTAACGCCGCACAGAACCGTGTTCGACCGCCCCTTGACGTTCTCTACCCTAGACTGACCGACTCTACGAATGACGATGCTGAGGTGGAGTAAGTGTTTGAATACAGCTTGGGATCGCCAAACTAACCAAGGCAGCATCATCGCCGTGCACGGCCTCGGTTCAAATGTCGACTGGTCCTGGACTTGGAAGGGTGGCGGAGAGCGCGTCGACTGGCTTCAAGACCCCGACATGCTGCCCGCCAAGATACCCAAGTCGCGGATCATGGTGTATAATTACGAGTCGCGGTGGCATGTGGACGCCCCGAAAACGCGCCTTCAGCTCTGCGGCGAGGAGTTCATACACGCTTTGCACTCCTTCCGCCGCGGCACCTCCAAGCGCCCAATTGTCCTCGTCGGCCATAGCCTAGGTGGAAATGTCATCGTCCATGTGAGCCTATATGATCGTCCGTGCCACGTGCCTAGCTGACTGCGATATTGAGGCCCTTCTATATGCTAGCGACAGGGTAGAGTATAGGTACTTGTCGGAGGCAACGGCAGGCGTTGTGCTGTTAGGCTCACCTCTTCGGGGCACAAAGTGGCAACCCTTCCTCGATTCTCTCGCGCAGCTGATGGGATCGGCAGGCTCGCACCGCGGGATCACCAAAGAACTCGGCTTCGACGGACCTGAGCTGCAGGATAGACTGCATCGCTTCTGCCGGCTTCGAAACACCCTGTCAACGCCCGTCTCCTGTTTCTTCGAACTCTTCGAAACGGACTATGGGCGCAGGTTTGGACTGAGCGGGGTGGCAAGAGGAATGGTATGCAATGCCCGGCTAACCTCAAGAGCCTAATCTCACATCTTTAGATCGTGGAAGAGGCGTCTGCTTGCATCCCAGGCCTCGACAGATACGCCCTTCAAGCGGATCACTTGAAGATCAATAAGTACCGTGGTCCCACAGACCGCGGATTCTTGAGCGTGTCAGGGGTGATCGTCGAGATGTGCGCCAACGCGAACGACGTCGTCACGCGTCGGCAAGATCGTGAGTGTTCCCGCTCCTCGCCTTATGCTTTCTTCTAATCATTTCCTAGCAAGGGATGTTATTACTGACAATTCTTGTAAACCCCCACCCTCACCTGTGATCACCGAGCACAACTGACAGGTTGCCAAGACGCACTGAAGCAGAAGCCCGACGCCGGTGCCTGTCTACGTGACCTATTCTTGACCGACCCGCTAGACGACAGAAAGGCGCTGAAACGCAAGAAGGGAGATCGCGCTTCAGGCTCCTGCGAGTGGATCCTCGGCACCGAAGAGCTTACCACCTGGCTTGGTTCCGATCGGATAGGCCGCTCGGAGGGCCCCTCGACCCAGGTTCTTTGGCTACATGGGTACCCGGGAACAGGGAAATCTACTACAGCTATCTTCCTTACTGAGGAGCTGTCGAAAGTATTTGCTACTACGGATCGGAAAACGTTAGCATACTTTTTCTGCGACTCTGGATTCGATACGCGAAGAACGGCCATGTCAGTCGTTAGGGGGCTTCTCCTCCAACTCGTTCAGCAGCACCCACAGCTTCTTGACTATGTTTCACCAAAGTATAACGAGCGTGGAATGGCGTTGTTCACCTCATTCGACGCTCTTTGGACCATATTTATGAATGTGGCGGCGGACAAACACACCGGCGCAAAATACTGCGTTATCGATGCGCTGGACGAATGCGATCGGGAATCTCAAGTCACCCTGTTGCAACAGCTCAAAGAAACGTTTCAGAGCCAGCATGTGCCGCCCAATGTCTTTATCCTGGTTACCAGTCGGCCGTATCCCGAGATACGCCAATATATGGGAGGATTTGCCAACAAGGACTTAGCTTCCTACCCCGAGGTAAAGCAAGACATTGGACGATGCATCAAGGAAAGAACAACAGACCTGGCCACAACCAAATACTACACTGATAAAGTCCGAACACAAGTCAGCAATATTTTGACAGAGAAAGCTGACGGTACTTTCCTCTGGGTTGGCTTAGCCTGTAAGGAGCTTGAGGATGTCCCTTCAAAGGATGCTGTCCGAGTGCTGGAAAGTATACCTAGAGGGCTTACTTATCTTTACAAGAGGCTTCTCGACACAGCTCTAGAACACAACGCTGGAGCCGACGGACTTCAGCGTATCCTGAACTGTGTTGCAGTTTGTGTACGGCCACTGAGTGTATTAGAGCTCTCTGAAGCTTGCGAACTTCACTTGGACGAGGACGACGAGCAGACCCGGATTCAGTTCACCCGAGATCAAATTGATTCCTGTCGGCTTATAGTGGTCATTCAGGAAGAAAAGGTACTTTTACTACATCAGTCAGTAAAAGACTTTCTGACAGGGCCCGAAGCCGGCCGTTTCATCGACGAGCTAAAGGCACACGCCGATCTTGCTTACCGCTGCGTGGATCTCATCAAAGAGTTTCATGATGGTAACGATGCGAATAGTCCCCTTTACAACTATGCAATTGAACAATGGCCAAATCATGGACGCATGGCAAAGTCAGAATTTGGTGTCAAAGACTCACAAGCAGGCTTCTTCGAAATTAGGGCCAGCTATCTTCAAAACTGGCTTAGAGGATATTCTGCACGTTTCCGCTACGAACAGATTACAGCACAAACTTCGGTTCTGCACGTTGCTGCAAAGTGGGGGATTCCAGCTCTAGCGGAATATGTCTTTCAGTCAGATAAAGGAGGTTTCGACGCAGACAAGATAACCGAACTGGTTGATCATAAGGATGCCAACAATAAGACGCCAATGGAGGAAGCTGCTGAATCAAGGTATCTAGGGGTTATGCCTTTGCTTCTAGATTTTGAAGGGAAAGTATCACCGCAAGTTATAGTGGCCGCAGCAAGAAACTATTGGAACGGCAAGGAAATCATGACATTACTTCTCGATCGGCGAGGCGACCAGATCACCATCACCGAGGAAGTGGTAAAGGCCGCAGCAGGGAACGAGTGGTACGGCGAGGAAATCATGACACTGCTTCTCGACCGGCGAGGCGATCAGATCACTATCACCGAGGAGATAGTATCTATTATCGCCAGAAGGTTCAACAAAGAAATCATGACACTACTTCTCGACCAGCGAGGCGACCAGATCACCATCACCGAGGAAGTGGTAGAGGCTGCAGCAGGAAATAGTCGGAATGGCAAGGAAGTCATGACACTACTTCTCGACCGGCGAGGCGACCAGATCATCATCACCGAGGAAGTGGTAATAGCTGCAGCAGAAAACCGTCGGAATGGCAAGGAAGTCATGACACTACTTCTCGGCCGGCGAGGCGACCAGATCACCATCACAGAGGAAGTGCTTAAGGCCGCAGCAGGGAACGAGTGGTACGGCAAGGAAATCATGACACTACTTCTCGACCAGCGAGGCGACCAGATCACTATCACAGAGGAGATAGTATCTATTATCGCCAGAAGGTTCAACAAAGAAATCATGACACTACTTCTCGACCAGCGAGGCGACCAGATCACCATCACCGAGGAAGTGGTAGAGGCTGCAGCAGGAAATAGTCGGAATGGCAAGGAAGTCATGACACTACTTCTCGACCGGCGAGGCGACCAGATCACTGTCACAGAGGAAGTGGTAATAGCTGCAGCAGAAAACCGTCGGAGCGGCAAAAAAATCATGACACTGCTTCTCGACCGGCGAGGCGACCAGATCACTGTCACCGAGGAAGTGGTAAAGGCTGCAGCAGGAAACGAAGAGAACGGCAAGGAAGTCATGGCACTACTTCTCGACCGGCGAGGCGACCAGATCACCATCACAGAGGAAGTGGTAAAGGCTGCAGCAGAAAACGGATCGATCGGCAAGGAGATTATGGCACTACTTCTCGACCGGCGAGGCGACCAGATCACTATCACAGAGGAGATAGTATCTACTATCGCCAGAAGGTTCAACAAAGAAATCATGACACTACTTCTCGACCAGCGAGGCGACCAGATCACCATCACAGAGGAAGTGGTAAGGGCCGCAGCAGGGAACGAGTGGTACGGCGAGGAAATCATGACACTGCTTCTCGACCAGCGAGGCGACCAGATCACCATCACAGAGGAAGTGGTAAGGGCCGCAGCAGGGAACGAGTGGTACGGCGAGGAAATCATGACACTGCTTCTCGACCGGCGAGGCGATCAGATCACTATCACCGAGGAGATAGTATCTATTATCGCCAGAAGGTTCAACAAAGAAATCATGACACTACTTCTCGACCAGCGAGGCGACCAGATCACCATCACAGAGGAAGTGGTAAGGGCCGCAGCAGGGAACGAGTGGTACGGCGAGGAAATCATGACACTGCTTCTCGACCGGCGAGGCGATCAGATCACTATCACCGAGGAGATAGTATCTATTATCGCCAGAAGGTTCAACAAAGAAATCATGACACTACTTCTCGACCAGCGAGGCGACCAGATCACCATCACAGAGGAAGTGGTAAGGGCCGCAGCAGGGAACGAGTGGTACGGCGAGGAAATCATGACACTGCTTCTCGACCGGCGAGGCGACAAGATTCCCATCACCAACGGGGTTGTAAAGGCTGCAACATGAAATTGGAAGGATGGCGAAGAAGTTATAGGACTGCTTCTCAATCGGCGAGGCGACCAGATCATTGTTTGGTACATGGGACAAGACATTTTCTGGGCTCCCGACTTGCCTTGGAGCTTGCCTACGAGGTTTCTGCATTTATACCTGATCTTCAGCCTTTATTCTCGATCTAAGAGCTACTGGGGACTACTCTACGGGGTCCGCATCTTTGCGTTGGCGCATTGATGTGGTGGAGCAAGGAATGTGCAAGCTCAGTGAAGGCATGCGGGTGAGGATCGGTCAAACGAGTCGTAGCAAAGAGTGGAGGGATTGAAAGCATTGGGAGGACGTTTTGCCCGAATTTTCCTTGCCCTTGGTCTGAGGGCCGCTTTATTGGAAAGTCTCGAACGCGCCGTCGGAGAAGTTGGGCGGCAAGCGTGACCGCTTCGGGACTACGGGGCCCGCTCTCGCGTCTGTCAATTCTGGCTTCCGTGATCTCGATATCGGATGGACAGCATGGTCGGTCAGATGCTGTTCGAAGCCACGGTTAAAGGAGGTTGTCAACTTTTTGCCTGTAGTCATACTTGAAGCTGCTTGCAGAGTTGTGGGATTGGTGGACCCCGTCGCTCGACTTCGCGAGGGGCAGCTCATGGCGGCGGCGGCGGATGAGAGAGTGGTTATACTATCAGTGTATCCTCGAAGGTCTTGCAAATCGGGGCCAATGTGCTGTGCAAACAGAGCTAAGTCGCTAGCGATCGTGGGCATGGCGTCTCGTGTGAGCGTGTCTGGGGGGAAGGTGGGAACAGCGACTGCGAGTGCGCCTGTGGTGTTCTTTTGAGCGTTTCGGGTGACCGGGATCTTCGACAATCTGATCCCAAAACTCATACGGATACTGTCAGGACTTGAGATCCTTGGACGCCGGCCCAGGTCTCTTGACCCGACGGCCGTCTCGAAAAGGCTTGTCGGTACACGGCCTCTTTCGGCCGCTGATGAAGCCATCTTGTTGCGAGTGCTCGTCGGAGCGATGCCTCTTTCGACCTTGTGGACTAGCCATGGATGACCGAATGTCGGGAGTCAAGCTTGGAACGGGACTCCAGTGGTGATATCCAGGTCGCAATGAAGGGTCACTACGTGGTGCCGGTTGGACTTGTCGTGAAGGATGTACCACTAATTTCCTCGACCAATTATTAGCCACTGGATTCATACAGCAGCCCTCGATTGGTCATACAGCCCTTGCCTTCCTGCGGCCTGGGCCTGGCTCCTCTCCAATCGGGGAAGCAAGGCCGATAAGAGGTGGTTTTCAGAACCTTGCTGCAAGGTCAGCTGCAATGTTTGAAGGCCTGAGCGCTTGGGCATCACGCCTGCGCTTCGCCAGACGTTTTTAATTTGAAGGGACTGGACCTGATCTGCAGCTGCAGGGAACTTTGAGACAGTATAACGATACCCCTGGGGTGTGTTTTGCGAACTCAATGGCAGCCTGGCGCTCACGATCGATCGCCCACCGTCTAAGACGGAAGGAATCGGGTTTTCTATCTTCCGTCTCGTCCGTAACGAGGAGCGACGACCTCCAGTTCAGGTTGTCAAAACCATCACGACAAAAGCGGTATGCGCTCCATCTAGAAGATACCAGTGAGGGCCGGATTAGTAGTTGGGTCGGTGACGACCAGCGAATACCTGGTGTTGTATGTTTTTTTGCTGTATTTGCCAATACGGCATCGCGTTTTGCTGGATATGTTGTCCCTGATGTCCTGGCTTTCAGGGGATGACATGGAGGTGATAGGCTGGATCGCCGTGGCGCATTGAACACGGGAAACCCATCTAGTCATACTTGCAGGCCTTTACTTTTGTCGTCATCAAACTACAATAGCTAGATCATCTGTCCTAGTTTCCAGGAAACCAGTTCTTGGCTGGCACGAGAGGAGGGATCATACATACATACATACGCTCAAAGACAGGATCAAGTCCAGGGCCGCTACGGCTGAGCATTACCCGTCAAGACTCGACAGGGGGAACCTCCTATCCGTACAAGGGCCCAGAAGTTGGTAGAAGATGAGGTAAGACTATCTCGTAGTGGGCCTGTGTAGGTTGCCCGGAGTCTACTCCTTACGTTGGCTTCTACTGTTATGTAGTCAATATCAACTGGGTACCTTTGCCATGAATTATCTTGGCTATAAAGAAACCCAAGTCTGAGCAGTTTCGTTTCTTTCTCAGAGTACCCGCTCCCTGCTAGGGAATTGGACAAAGCCCGGATGTGATACCTATGCGTCCGACGAAGTCAATGGGCTAAATCTGGGTGTTAAATCTCAAGCGTTCGAGCTTCGCGCATAGAATTCATTGCAACACTCGGCCGAGTCAGAAATGACACGAAAAAAAGTACAGAAAACGGGCCCAAACAGCTGAGATTCATGACCAGAAACTTAATCGAAGAGGATCGGGGGGCAAACTAGCCAGCGGTGCCAGCCTCTCAGGCCCAGGGAATGGAAAAGCCGTCTCCGGCAAAATCCGAAGTGGGAACCGACTACCATTTTCCATCGAGATCGTCGACAAAGTCCAGCTTGTACTCCGTACCCCTTCCAGAGAGAGAGAAAGGAACTTCATCTGCCGTCTCAGCTTTCGTCTGTCGACGCTAACGTCTTGGGACGGCTGAGACTTGTCCACAATGCGTTAGCTAGCAGGAACCGCAAACCTCCTTTTCCCCCCAAACCGTGGGCATGAACCATTCACTCGGGACACGTTTGAGGCTTTTCGAGGCGAGAGCAAGGAGATTTCAGCGCATTTATGAGTGATTGGTTATGTTGAAATGCTCGTCCGCTGTGGTCGCCACGTTCGAAGGACTTTGGATTTGGGCATACAACGTGCTCCATTCTCATGAACCCGCTCTAGCAACAGTCGGCCGCTCGGGATCCGCTACTTGTGGATTTGAAATTCATACGTCTAGAATATGGGTCCACCAAGGCGTCAACTGATATGGTAGATTAAACCTTTTTAATAAAAGTGAAGCTCGCGATGTAGTGAAGTCTTGAGGATTCGTGGCTTAGACAAAACATCCAGCGTGGCTGAGATTAGTGGCTTGATAGAAAACGGGGATCAGCATTCTACACAGTAGCATTTCTTGGTGCCGATGGTGCCGTCTTGTCGGTTCCGGGCCTTGGAATTTTTGATATGGGCACAACCTTGGCATGCGGACAGGAACAAGAAAGTCTCAGTGAAGATCAAGGCAAACGCTGTGGATTTTCACAACGAAGGGATCGGCCATTCCCGCTGCTTCCGCCAACTCATCGGTCTCAGGAACGCGTTGAAAGACAAAAAAGTTGAACTCGGGGTTTCCCCCCCTTTTCCCTCCCCAACTCGGATCTGTTAAGCAAGCCACTTTGTGGCTTTTTCCGTCTCAGTTCATCCCAAGTTCGAAGCGGAATGACGAGCATGCTCCCCACGCACACGTCCGTCTGAATGTTTCGGTCGCAGGTGTTTTGGGCTGGCGTTCACTGTGTAATACCTAGTGTACACCACACTACCATATGGACTACGATGACTAAGGGCCGGACAGAGAGATGCCTGCGCGGCACGCTGAAGGCGGGAGACGGGAGACGGGAGTTACGTGTACCGGGGTACAGATAATGTGCGTGCAATATGCGTGCCCGCCTGCCGCAACCTACCTTTGAAGTTAGATATAGCACGAGCGCCGACGTGGCTGGCAGATATCGGACCGCTGCATGTCAACGAATGCGGATAGGTAAGAAACTGCGTCGTCGCGCCGTGTCCTTGATTGGCTTGGTCGTATGCTGGTAAGTATGTATCCGTACGCAACGGGACCCAATAGCGGCGGAAACGCGCATGGTTTATTTGGACGGAAGAGGAAAGCTTCCAGAGCACTGTCAAATTGTCAATGTCGTGATGGTCTCACGGGATACCTACCATGATAGTCATAACCGACAGATATTGCCGTCTAAATCACCTTCTAGCGTGATGCCTGAGATGCTGCTCTCTTACCTGATGCGCAAGGGTGATCTGGGGTGACTAAAGCAGATTCCAAACTTGTCTCCAATAAGCGGTAACGCTTAGAATATACGAAGACGGGTCCGATCTGAGTGCCTTCGTCCTCGGTATTGTCCAGGCTGCGTTCTGCTAGGCATGTCAGCCATCCTTGTTGTTCAGGCACAATGTTACCGAGCCAAGTATCTTCATGCCGATCTCTTCGTCCTCTGGTTAGGCGCTAGAGACTGGATCCTGGGCCATGGCGAAGGTCGCGTGCAGTCAGGACGACGCTGTGAGTACAAGGCGTTGCGAGCTGTGAATAGACGATCTAGGGAGTGTTGCAACAGGCGAGAGAGGGAGGTCTGGGGCTCGTTGGTCTGCATTCAAGCTAGGCGCTCAAGCGCTGGGCAGAAAAAGCTGTCAGTTCCATGGTGATGGTCATGTTGGGACGATGGTCTGCCGGGGCATGGCTTGTGGGGCCAATGTGATTGGGAATGAAGCCAAGCTCGCATTTGAAGTTGACTCCATCGACTCTGTAGCTGGCCAGTGGTACGCCGATGCAACAGGCAGCCCAGGTGTCGAAGCCTATTGGTATACTTCGTAGGGTACTGCGAAAAGGAGGCTCAGATGATGGGAAAATGCCAAAATCCGCTGCGATGCGGTAAAGTTGGCAGCCTGTCGTGCCTGTAGGTTGTAGGTACAGTGGCACAGTGATCCGTACATTTGTGCCTTTTGGAGGAGGTCCATTCCCCGTTCCTCCAAGACCAGGATTCCCATTGCAGTTAGCCCTTAGGGCGCCTTCGAGAAAGCCACCTGGCTAGCGATGCATATTGACGTCATCTCGTCCTCCATTAGCGTGGCAGGGACAAGCTTCAGGGATCTGAAAGGTCATGCGTTGTCGAAAAGAATGGATCTGCCCTCTGGCCGTGTACTGCGGTAGGGAAGCGCGTGTCGTGAGCTGCGGCAGGAGTTGGCTTCCTCTTTTCGAACCGTATTCTGGGCGTAGACAAGTCACGAATACTACCTTCCTGTGGGTTGCCGATACCTAACAGTATCCGTATGTGCTTGAAATTGGCTTTCCTGAGTCCAGTACCTTGTCTGAGTACCTGAGGCTCTCCCTCGTATTCCGGAGCAGCGTCCGTTAGCTCGATGAATTGTCTTGTTGCTGTAGGATGCTGTCTTGTTATCTGTGTAGGCACAAATAAGGGGTCCAACCTAGATTCGGGGTCGAGAGGAAGGGAGAGAAAGGCGTTAACTGCACCTATCCGTGGCGGAGGTAGGGAATCCAATCGTCACCCCTCGTTGCCTCTCCTTTGGCGTAGTGAAAAAGTGTGCTTACGGAGTAAGGTAAGAAGTGAGAAGGATGTTGGAACTTGGAAGTGACCCCAAACCGTCACAGAGTCTCTTGCCTTTGCTATCAAAACCACGGGGAGGAGTAGGGTAGGTCGCGTGACTAGTGACACTTTCGAGGTTGCCACGGGTGTTGGAAATTCCAAGACCACCTTCCACTTGCGCGAACCAGCAATAGAGTTGTTGAGTGGTTGCTGTTTGCTTGAGAAAAGGGGAAAGGGGGCAAGCATTTGGCGCATCGTTGGAGAGACACACAAAACTCTGAATGGAAACATGCCCGGCGGAATCCGTGGCCTAGCTGCGAATCAAACATGGACGGAAGCCATGCCGCGGCAACATCGCCGTCCCTCCACCCCCTCCAGCCACCTCCGAAGCTATCACAGCTTGTTTGGCAGGTTAGCGAATAGCTGGTGTATAAGCGGCGCGACAATTCGCTCCGGCTGCAGAGCCAGAATGTAATGGCCACATTCTCTTCTGGAACAAGTGCCATCTAGCTAACCCGCTAATGATCATGTCCCCGTCGTAACTAAGCCTATGGCGTTCACCGATACGGCCTGTCAGGCTTGGTATGCCCCGTAGACCGCGCGTTAGAGAGGTCTGAGATACCAAATGTGAATTAATCAGTCATTCCATTTGGCTGGGCCGCCGTTCCACGATCGGGGTCAAGGGGAACTGGGCAAAAAAAATAAAAAAAATTGAAAAACGTCCTGTTTTCACTTTCCAGCTCGTCAATATGCGCAGATTGAGTCAACCATTGGGTTGGTACCAGACTGCTGGGTGCCGTTTGAGGGAACGCGAAAATTCTGCAAAGCGAGGCTGCAGACATCATCGTGTCGTCGTTCCAACTCACCGTTTCCCAGGGCATATCCCAATATCTTGCCCTGGCGTGGTGGAGTTCATCAACAGGTTGAGTGTATCAAACCCCACAACCTCGATCGGAATCGTCAACTGAGTGAAGCCTTAAATCGCGATAAACAAATAGCGTCGCCTTGTAATTAAACAACCAAGCCCACCACAGTGCGGGGAGCAGGGGCGGGAGCTCTGTCAGTTGACCACCTTCAAACCGAAGGTGGCCAAGCATACCTTGCCGTGTTGTTAGCTTGTTGTGAGTTGAGCTGCTGTGCGAACGGAAACGGGAGCTGGACTCCGGCGCGGACGGGCGGTCAACCGTGTGACGATTTGTTTCTGACCACATCAGTCAGAACAACGGCGGCGATCACCAGAGCGCAGACCAATTGAATGAATGAATGATTGCATGACATGCGCGGTCCGTCGTATTATACGCGGATTCAGTTGATAGACGCTTCGTAATCGTGACATATCCGTGACTCGCTCCAAGTCTCGCGTTGCTGCATGGGAGTATACTGTGCCTGACAAAGCAACTTTCTTTCCACGTCTGGTGTTGGAACATGATCGGCCTGGGTGCCGTCTTAGTCGTGAACTTGCTGCAACAGCGTTGTGGTTGTGTTCGACCTTGCATCGTGCCGTTTTGAAATATTTGTGGGCAAAGCAGGTTAGAGTTGACCGCAGCTGGGCACATTGGGATCTGCTAGGGCTGGCTTTGTTGGTTTGTTTGCGGTAAGCACGGGGGTTCCGGGGGGATGCCATGAGCATGATGGCCGATCTAAACGTTGTGTACCACGAGTCTGAAGTTTTCGATGGCCGCGTGGTATCTAAAATCGGGCCAGATTGCCTGGGTAGTTCCGTCCGAATACTGCGTTGAGGTGCTGTGCTCCGTGTCCCGTGTCGTGTCTAGGACGTCCCGCCAACCTCCAACGCGTTGCGACTTGGGTGCGCGCATACGATACGATGGTGGTGGTGAGAGAGCACAGAGAGTCATGAGCTTGCCGCTGCCTTGGAGGTTGAACGGAGGCACCATGGTCCGGGGAGCGTTCGACATGTCAAAACAAGGCCGACTAGTGGTTGACTTGTAGCGGCTTATGTGTGCGAGGCGAAGGTAAAGGCCTTGCTCAGGTATGGGAAACCCGGCCTGGTGAGCGGCCGGGTGGGTTCCGTTACGGGAGACGTGGAGCTGCCCATTGAAACGGCGGACAGAATTTGATGGAGCCTCACTGCCTTCTGGCTCCAATGTTCCCAGAGCCGTAAGCCGTGAGCCGCTGAGTCTCTGCCAGGGGGGTCAAAATGCGATGCGGTGCGGCGTAGTCTGGGGGTGGATCCCGGGAAGGAATAGGGATATTGGAAAGGAGAGAATTGCGTTGCGTGCTCAGATGCAGATTCGCACCAACAGTTGAGATGCAATGAGTGAATGTCGCCTGTGCGACGAACCAGGGCCAGCGACCATTGCGGAAACGGACGAGTTTGAGACGGAATGGTTTCCAGAAGCAATTAATCGTGGAAAGACGGGTTTAACGAAGACGGAGAGGCAGGTTTGAGTGGATGCCGCGTGTGTGGAGCTTGGGGGCCAGCGGCAGCCACGCCCGTGTGATGTAATGGGGCACGTATCGGTGCAGGACTCCCCACATTTTGCCAGGGCACGTACATCCTCAAGTACAGATACCTCTGCTTTTGTACACCACGGACTTTGATTGTGCGTGTCGTGACTGGTTATTACTGGCTGTGGCCTGGTGTGCTAGTGCTAGGGAAGATAGCTGCGGAAGCCTCTTTGTATTTGGCGAGACGGGCAGCCTGATTTCAGTTCAGCTGGGCAGGTACTGAAGTGTGTTGACGAGTCGTGTGTATTCGTAGCATGGAGAAGATGATGAGGTTCAAATGTCTGTATGTATGCTGTTCGAAAGGGAAAATGTCATGAATACTCTAGTATACCTTACACAATACCCACAGAACGGATGCTGGAAAATATTAGGTACAGAGTTCCTTGACAGACCTGAGTAAGCCAAGTACCGGTACGAATACTTCGATGGTGCAGGGATATGGGGCCCACTAGACCAGTTATCTTCCAAGGAAGCACCCGTTGGCAGACGTGTGTGTTTTCTTCTTCTTTCCCTTTGGCTTGGTGGCTGCCCGTAATTAGCTATTTTCTGCCCAAGAACCTTGGGAAAGAGCTTGATTTGATGAACGGGATAGGAGGCAATGGCCGGTGATTCCAATTCCAATAGCCAGCTATTTTACCCAACTTAGATTTCCAGCAAATTGCATGCTGCAGTGCACTCATAACTACTTTGGTCCAGTCTTGACCGAGACATCGACGACGCTGGCAAGCCGCGACCGAAGCTGACTGTGATTTGTTCCCGCCGCCGCCGCCGCCTTTCGCAAGCCGTGCGGTTGGATTTTGGCCCATCCCGTCAGGTACCTTATTTCTCAGCTGGGCTCGGGGCTACGTCATAGCCCCCCCGGTGGACCGTCCACCCCTTCCTTTCTTGATCTTTTCCCGTCGTCTACTGCCACTACTCCCGTAGGTACCTTATTGTGCCTCTCCTTCCCAAATTTCCACGCCCTTTTCGCTGCGTTTCTCGCTCCGCTTCGCTTCCTTTCAGTCTTCTGCCCGCCACCCCGCCCCCCTGTTCTCCGTCATCCGTCACCGTCACCGTCACCGTTCCCGTCAGGCCCGCCGTCAACGCAGACTTTTGTGTGTGTGAGAGAGGAGAGACTTGAGGAGACCCATTTCGACAGAAACTGGGAGAGAGAGAGAAGAAAGAGAGAGAGAACCAGCGCAAAGAAATATTGCACACGCCCCTCAACACACTGCGATAGGCGTAACGGATACTTGCTCCTGTCCCCATTCCCAGTCCAACGACCTGCTAGGTAGGCCTGGTCCCAGTCCCGTTCTCTTCTAGTCCATGCCTCTTTCAGTTCAGTCCAAACGCACATCCCATCCGTACCATACCACACCAACCTTGCCTCACCCTTCACCACGAGCTACACCAACACACACCAGACCGTTGTAATCTTTCCTGCACCACCGCACCGCGCGCTTCCACTCACGGCTTTTTCCTTCGACCTCCAGATCGTCACCTCCGTTCGCCTCACCGCAATCCTGACGACCGAGTTTTCCATAGCGGTGCCTTTACCCCCTCATCTACTCCAAAATACCGCGACCGAACCCCTCGTTGTCCACCTCGTCTGTCGACTTTGCCACGAACCGTTTCTTCGCCGTCACGATTCGTCACGACCCGGCCAGCTACCCTCTCGGAGCGATATCACCACCACCGACCAAGGTTTCACGATTTCTGTATATGGGGCGTTCTATTCTATGAGGAATGCCAAGCACGAGCCTTCCAGTAGACAAGAAAGACTCGTCCTCTGCGCGTCGGCTCAGCCTTCCAAGACGAACGACGCCCGATTCTAAAAAGTCGCCCACCAAAGAATCGCTTGTCAACCTCCCGACTCCCCGCCATGGACTGACCCTCGATTCTCTAAGATCCAGTAGAAATGCGCGAGCTGCAATGTCGGATGCGTCCAAGGAGCAGTCTTCCAAGTCATCCGCCGACCGCTCCAGGGCGCAAATCGAACCCTTCGTCACCAAGGCTGCGAGTCCTGGCGGTGCTGGTCCGGATACTAACCTAAAGCGCAGCGTGGGTGTTTCTAGGGCTGGTGATGACGTTGCTGGTGGCATGAGCGGCAAGGAAGCAAAAAGTAAAACCGAGACTGCTGCAGGGACCGACGACGACACGCCACCCGCCCTTTCTGAGTCCCAGATACAACTGAATCGATATCGAGAGCGATTGGCACGAGATTTGGAGAAGCGCGAGATGGCGACGAGAGGCTTGATGGCGACACCTCCCGACAAGGTGCGCGTCTCGCCAATCCAGGAGGAAAGTGGCAACTCGCCGCGCACACAGGCTGGAATCGCGGGCTTGGCAACGACATCGTCCAATTCAACGACATCGTCCAATTTAACGACAACGTCTACCGAATCCGGAAACACAATTCGCGGCGGCATGACGCCCGGCAATATCGCGGGAACCCCTTCTTACCCCTTCCCGCGCATGTATACTCCGGGGTACGGCCCAGGCGCGATGAATCGACCATTCGGAAACATGTCCCCAACTGCGGCGGCCTTCATGTCGCAGGGCATGTCGTTTGAGGGCTTTGGCGCCGCTCAGGATAGGGTCATGTCTGGTTCATCGACACCCGCATCGGCCCTCACTTTCCTCCCCGCCGGAGCTACTGGCCAACTGGAGGGCGATTTCCCGAGTCCAAATCTCTATGACCTGTCGCTAATGCTCAACGCCGAGCCTGGAATGGACGCCTGGTGGAACACTGTCGTTCAGATCATGAGAGATGTGTACAAAGCCGAGAGAGTGACACTCGCTGTGCCGGCTGACACCACCGATATCGAGAATGTGCCCTGGGGCCAGAAAGCAACCTACAATGAGCACCAGGAGGACGATCTCAGCCTCGGATACATGGCAAGGGGAAGTAGTTTGATACCCAGCAGCGCTGGCGATATTGTCTCAGAAGAACCTCTCTTGCCCGAAGACCCGGCACGACCCAGGTTGCTCTCTCGACCCAGTCTCCAGACTCGGCACTCGTTCACGACGTACGAGGATAACAGGGAGAGGAAAGGGAACGGCAACGAGAGACTCTTGCCATCACGCCGTCCTGCGCAACTAGGCAGAAGCAAGAGTTATTTCCCGCCCGGTAAGGCGACCGAGGACATTGTTCAGGAGCCACTAGGCCCGGCATTGAATCAATCTGCCCTTGCTGAGCATGATGCCGAAGAGCCCAACGTACCGAGTTGGGAGGCACCAATTGGCGCCAACTCCGACACCGAGGGCAGAGTGCTCCCCGTACTTCAAGCCCTGGATTATGAGGCCGATCCTCTGATCGACCACGGCGGTGTCATGCGTGTTCTTGAACGTGGCAAGGTCATCGCACTGACAAGAAGCTACCCCTACCTTCAGAATTTACCAGAGGAGACACCACTTAAGTCCAAGGTGACAGCCAACACGACCTCGGCCGAGGCAGCAAGGAAGAAACTGAAAAGGGGTCGGATCGAGTCTACCCAAAAGTTATCGACGATCTTGAGTGGTTCAAGTTCCTCCTGGAGCTCTAGCCGTAGCCACAGCGGTGACAAGCCATCCAGCATAATTTCACGGCTTTCCGAGGACGAGCCACGCCCACCCACACCAAAATACGAGGAGTTTGAGCAGGCACCACCATCCCCCTGGTCCCAGTCTCCAGCACCATCCCCAGCTGTGCGGGCAGATCCGAACGAGAACCCATTCTTCACTGATGCCATGGTCGACGAGGACTCTTTTAACCCCGAGTCTGCACCTGCAGATTACACAGGAATGCGACCTCCTGAAGCTATTGGCGTGGACAATGCATGGACAGTCCTTCACATCCCGCTGACGCATCTGTTGCTCTCAAAGCCTGTTCATCCTTTCAAGCTTGATACCACTGTCCTGGAACAAAAGTCTCACTCTCGCAACCGTAGTGAAGCCCAGGATCCTTCTGGCGGTGAGGATGAGGACGACGCCGCCTCATTCTCGTGGCAGCGGAAAGATAAGCCTGCGCCTATCGCCATTCTCTCAATACTCAGTCCCGTCATCCCATATCCCTCAAACCTTCGCCATTCATTAGAGTATCTTGCCCCGCATCTGGCAACCTCCTTTTCTCTATGTCGTCATTACACAAACTTGGAGACGGAGCTTGCTGGTCTGAACCGGCGAAGGCCTAACACTGCTGGGTTTGGCGCGCTTGCTGCCGATGGCCGTCCCCTGGCAGACCCCAGCAGCATTGGCAATCTAAGCTTCATGCCCTCGGACGACATGGCAGCCCAACGCTCGCTAGCAGGCAGCATCACCAGCCCCAGCGATTACTCGGGTGTTTCCAAGAGTGCTGCTGGCTCCCCACTTGGCACACCTGGTTCCATGCATCACGCCATTGACAAGACTGGATTTGCAACTAGCCCTGCACAACTTGGGGAAGACAGCTACTTTGGCAGCAAGCTGAAGCCGAGCAGCTCGAGGGCCGAGATGGCTTCTGCGACTTCTCAGAGGACGAGGAGGAGTTCAGGGGAAAGTTCGTCAATGGACAAGCGCCAAGCCCGGCTATCTGCGTCATACAAGCTTCTTAACAAGGAGCCTGCCCAGACGCCTGGGGACAGCGAAGATCTGGTCGAGCTTAACGTCGAGAGCCGCGTTTCGACGCCGGGAGGTTCCAAGAGAGTGCTCTCCCATGAACTCAAGAATTATCTTGACGAAATCGCTGTGCTCGAACCTCGACTCAACTCAACTGACCGGAAAAGCTCGGATGGAGGCCACCATACCCTCCTGCATTCCTACGGTGCCGACTTTGCGACGAGCTTCCAGTCGCTACCCCCTAGCTCAAGCGTGGTTAGTAGGCCGGTACCCCATACTGCTCCGACTCGAACAGGCTCGATCAATGTTGGCCCAGTAGACATGCCACCGCCGTCAGACCGTCTCAAGGGCCTCATCTTAGACTCTTTGCCTGCTCACGTTTTTGTCTCGCTGCCGCAGTCGGGCGAGATAGTCTGGGTGAATAGTCGCTACCTGACGTACCGCGGACAGACAGTCTCTGATTTAGCTGCCGACCCTTGGGGTAGCATTCACCCGGACGACAGGGATGAGTATCTCAAGGCATGGAGCCATTCCCTACGCACTGGCGAACAATTTTCGAGGACTGTTCGTATCAGACGCTTCGACGGGGCCTACCGATGGTTCTATGCCCGTGCTGTTGCTTCCCGCGATAAACGAGGGGTCATGATGCAATTCCTCGGCTCTTACATGGACATCCATGATCAACATATTGCGGAACTGAAGGCTGCACGGCAAGAGGAGATTGAGGCCTCGGAGGCGAAGCATAGACTTCTGGCCAACCTCATCCCTCAAATCATTTTCACTGCGACCGAAGACGAAGGTATCACGTTTGCCAACGAGCAGTGGCTGTCGTACACCGGACAGAGTTTCGAAGACTGCCTCGGGCTTGGTTTTATGGTCTTTGTGCATCCTGAGGACCTGGCTAAATGCCATATACCCACAGACAGACCACCAACGCCGATGCCCTTCAAGTTTGACCGTTCAGGCCATCAAGAACCAATGTCATCTGAGGCGACATTGCCCAGCCTCGTATCTGGCAAATCGCAAAGTCAGCTAGAAACCAACCTTCGAGGCATCCACCAAGCGTTATCACGGAATAACAGCTCGAGCAGTAGCTCCGTCTACGAAATGCCCACCGCCGATCTGACGGCTTTGGCCAGGCAGGGTATCATCAAAGTGACAACCGACAGCAACGGCAGACTGTCATATACGACGGAGGTGCGATTACGATCCAAGAATGGAGAGTACAGGTGGCACTTGATTCGTTGCGTCGAGATTGACAACATTGACTTTGGAAACGGAGCCAGCTCCTATTTTGGCTCCGCCACGGACATCAACGACCACAAATTACTCGAAGCCAAACTCAAGGAGGCTATGGAGTCTAAGAGTAGATTCCTGAGCAACATGTCGCACGAGATTCGGACACCACTCATCGGTATTTCGGGAATGGTCAGCTTCCTACAAGACACCATCCTTAACGAAGAGCAGCGAGACTATACCAATACCATTCAGACCAGTGCCAACAGTCTGTTAATGATCATCAACGACATTCTGGATTTGTCAAAGGTCGATGCCGGAATGATGAAGCTCAAATACGAATGGTTCCATACACGCTCTCTCATTGAAGATGTCAATGAGTTGGTGTCCACCATGGCTATTGCTAAGAGACTGGAGCTGAACTACATTGTGGAGGAGGATGTTCCAGCCTGGGTCAAGGGCGACAAGGTCCGCATTCGCCAAGTCCTTCTCAACGTCATTGGCAATGCCATCAAGTTCACTGCCGAGGGCGAGGTGTTCAGCCGGTGCAGGGTTCACACCAACAAAGACTCAGTACATGACCAACATGAGATTGTGCTCGAATTTGCCATCATCGATACAGGTCGTGGATTCTCAAAGGAGGAGGCAGACCTTATCTTCAAGCCGTTCAGTCAAATTGATGGAAGCAGCACCAGACAGCATGGAGGAAGTGGTCTTGGACTGGTCATTTCGAGACAGTTGGTGGAACTGCACGGTGGCAAGATGGAAGGAAGCGCTGTCCCTGGCAAAGGGTCTACTTTCACCTTCACAGCCAAATTTGCTTTGCCGACAAAGGAGGATCACCCAGATGTACCCCTGAGCCCTGAGAGTTTGCAACCCACCTCCAGACTCACCCAAGATGTGGCTGTCATGCTCCCTCCAAAGAACTTGCCTTCACCTACGGTCGCATCAACAGACAGCCCCAAGACCGACACCGAGTTCACATCGCCTGCTGTTGTTTCTAGCGGAAGTTCAGCCCCTTCAGTCAAGTCGACCGTTTCTCGGGCTACAGAACGTACGTCTGTTACGTCCGTGTCTTCGATCAACGTTGGACTTGTTCACTTCAGCGAAGCTGCAAGAGCAAGCGGTCAAGATCTGTCCCAGATGAAGTTAGAGTTGCCTTCAACCGAGTCTTCGCCGGGCAAGACACCCACACCGGAGGCCTCCAAGCCGACGCACCCAGAAGACTTGAAGCCACCCATGTACTCCATCCTCATCATCTGCCCTCAGACCCATAGCCGCGAGGCCACCGCACAACATATCGAGATGACGTTGCCGAAGGATGTGCCTCACCAAATAACGGCATTGGACTCTACCGAAAAGGCACAGAAGTTGCTTGGGGGAGAGGGGTCTGTCAATTTCACCCACATTGTCCTCAACTTGCCGTCCCCAGAGGAGATCATCGGCCTGATGGAGCAGATCACCAAGTCGACAACGATCAGCAACACGACAATCCTCATTCTATCAGACTCAGTTCAACGGCAAGCTGTAATGAGACTTGCGACAGATACAAAGTATGAGAAACTTGTGTCCGAAAATGTCGTCACTTTCATCTACAAACCTGTCAAGCCGTCGAGGTTTGCCGTCATCTTCGATCCTGACAAGGTTCGCGACTTAAGTGTTGATCGGAATCGCTCAACCGCGCAACGTATGGTTGAAACCCAGAAGGCGAGTTACCAGGAGATTGGAAAACGTATGGGCAACAAAGGGTATAAGGTGCTACTGGTTGAGGACAATCCCGTAAACCAGAAGGTTCTGCAAAAGTACTTGAAGAAGGTCGGCGTGGAGGTTGAAGTGGCCGCCGACGGCGCCGAATGCACCGAGATGGTGTTCGGCCACGCCCATAATTACTACTCCTTGATACTCGTAAGTACGCGTCATCCCGCAAGAAGGGCCACCCGCTGACAAACTTTATAGTGCGACTTGCACATGCCACGCAAGGACGGCTACCAGGCCTGCCGAGAGATTCGACAATGGGAGAAAGAACAAGGGTTTAAGAAGCTTCCAATCATTGCGCTTTCGGCCAACGTCATGTCTGATGTCCAGGAGAAGTGCGTCGCGGCTGGGTTCAGCGACTATGTCACCAAGCCTGTGGACTTCATCGATCTCAGCAGAGCCATGTCCAGGTTCTTCTGAAGCCTAAAGAAAGACGCAAAACCAAGATAAACAACAACGAGAGGCGGGACTACCAAGTCGTGCCACATACACTTCCGCTTGCTGCAATTGCGCAGGCACTCGCATTACTTTACGGTTTACATTCAAACACAAAAATGGGGTTCATACTAGCAGGGCATGGCATTGGGGGAAACAGGAGTTTAGGGGTTTTGCGAAAGATTCAGGTTCATCATGATTAATATGGTCCTTTTCTGCCCATTGTGTACGACTGCTTCGAGGCGGATACCATCATAGAGACGTACCTCTAGAGGAGGGTCTTTTTGCAAGGGGGATTACTTCAGGATTATATATCAGCTTCTATTCTTTTTTCATGGATTCACGATAGGGACGAAACACGTCGTAGCTTTGGCGATGTATGTGCATGGCGTCCAAAGTTTGGGCCAACACCGGACTTGAGTAGAGGGATGGACGAGTGTCGTTCTGATGAGGTATCTACGTGTTGGGTATGGGATAGGTCAGGTCGGGTCCGGAGGTCAGCCGATGCTCGAGGTTTCGGCTCGGCGAGTGGCCTACCTCTGGGAGAGGAGAGATACGTTTACCGTGTGCTTGAGCGGTCTGGAGGTAGAGATGGTGGTAGTTGTGACTGAAAGACGATATCTCAATACATTAAATTACACTAAGGCTGCGTGGTTGCTTCGGCTTGAGGATACGTGAGGTTAAGCAGCCATGGGATCTCGAGGCTTGTTCGAGAGAAGGCTGGATTAGACAGAACACGTTCGTGTTCTTCTTGAAGATGGCTTATTCACTCAACCTTAGGCCCAGACCGCTTTGTTCCTGCTTCGTAGAATCGGTTGAAGCTACCTTCCTATAATATTCTCCTCTCTTGCCTGATATGTGGTAATCTACAGGGTCCACCTGCTCTATGGCAGCCGTCCAAGTCCAAGGCATCGGAGAGAGAGAAGGTTTGGGGTGATCTAGCTCTGCTCTTGGGTGGTTCGGCTCTGCTGATTCCACCCACTTCTAGGTGTCCTTCTTTTGCTCGATTACAGAATCGAGGCTCAAGAAGGAGGCCACTGCCACTTGAAGTCGATGCTAGGCAGGGAGGGTGTTGGCTAAAGATCCAACCTTTTCACCTACACCGCAAAAGGTCTTTCGCTCCTCTAATGGCAACTTTGACTTCCTTTGCCTCTTACCACTGGGCGTCTATGCGACTTTCGCTCATTTTTTTTGCTTCCCCTTCATTGGAGGGTTCACTCGTTTGTCTCGCACCTACTCGCCTCTTCCACCTCCAGACGCCGTCTATTCCATCCTCGGTACAAGGTGACCGCGGATGGCTTCCTTGCCTTTCTTTGAGGACATATACGAGGTCAGATCCTCCTTCTTCACCTTCCGAATACCTATCTTCTTCCAACCTTCCTTTCTACTGGCTGTTGTCTCCCGGCCATTCGTGGTAAGCGTTTTCTGGCTCGCCCTTCCATACTCTCTTCAAGCCTTCTGAGAAAGCGACTTTGGCATCTCGCTCTGTTACAGTACTGACTTAAGCCAAAAGGTCGCTCTTTCCGTTGCTTCTCTCCTCATGAGCATCTTTTAGCATTCATTCTCGGGATATTACACAATTTCCAGCAAGTATAGCACCACGGAGTCGAGTCGAGTTCAGCGGGCCGAACACGGCGCAATCGACAGCATGACAATCCCGGGGGCTCAGCATCGCAAGAGACATGCGAGCGAGTCTGAGAACAGCATACCTGGAAGAAAGCGGGCCAAACACTATGTTCCTCCTCGTTTGGCCGCATTCGCGGCAGCATCTAAGCGCCTGCCGAGATCGATTGACAAACGACGACCGACTCGAGTTCTCCGGGTGAGGGGCAGAAGAGCCATGTCGGCCACGAATCCAGGTATAGTTGAAAGGCTTGTGGCTAGTCAATTGCCACAAATTGTTATCTCCGAAACGACGATTCCATGACTGACCTAGACCCAGAAATCAGCCCACCAAAGCCAACTCGAGTAGATTGCTTTCATAAAGTTTCTCAACATCGTAAGACTAATACGTACGTAAATCAGGTTCACTGGCTAACCATAGCAATAGGAATGGTGACGCTTTCCCGAAACCCAGCAGACATCCAAGCTGAGACTGATGCTGGCTACAACCTCGCCAAAATATCTGATCTCAAGCCCAGTATGAGTGTCCAAGAGAAACTGTTCTTGGGAACCCGTATGGGTTTGCAGAGAAGAGACGAAGTCCAAACCGTTTATCAGCAAACTCGAGATCGCGAATCTCAGACTAATGCTATGGCTTTGGGTGGCATCGAGCTGACCGACCATGCCCTCGCATTGCCGATGTCCTGGAGACAGAACCTAGACAAGACGACAATTGACACCGAAATCAGCACTCAGCGTTTGACTGATCACATCGAAACTAGAATGCCGTTTATGTAAGTTATCTCCTAGTGGCAGAGAATATTTGACTCATTAGTGAGAAGTAGGGAGGCCTCTAGCAGGCTGACGGCGGCACTGCGACCATGCGTAAAAACTCTTCACACTATTCAGGGACTCGTGGCCCGACGGCGGCCTGGCCAGATTATGAACACCGAGTGGCAAGACAGCTGCAATACCATGTCGATGAACATGAGTTTCAGCGCCTTCCAAGCCAGATCGATGAGACTGAACGGATATCGGAGGCGTGCGATACAGTGGATACACTTCCAAAGGGTGGGAGACTCGCTCAAGCCGTTTCCGGGGCCGCCCCTAGATGATGACACAGCTGAGGATAACCCACCGAGTTCCATCACAGAGATGTTCTTCGAGCATGGTCGGAAACATGAACTTTCATTGGTAGAGTTGGATATGTGAGTTCTTGACCCTTATTCGAGATAGGACCGGGCTAATATTTCCTCCAAGCACCGACATTAACGGAGCGAAACGCAGGTGGATCTGCATCGAGATAGCCCAGCCTCTGGCCCAAGTCAGAGGTCCAGCCCCCATCGAACTAACACCAATGCCACAATCTTTCATCAAGATTGCTATGACCGCCGAGAATGTCCTGGAATTTTCAGGCACAAGACAGCAAATGCCTAACGAGAAAGAACAACCGAACAAGAACCATCCTCCACAGCTTGGGGACTTTGAAAAGCTCACGATAGGAGACTCTGCTCGAAGTCGCGAGGACGTGAACATGAGGCTAAGGGTGTGCAGAAACGGTGTGCCGATTTTTGTTACGGGGTCTAAGAAAGGTCACATTCCGGATTCCAGCCCGTTTGCGGACTTTCTCTCCGTACCAGGTGTGACTGGTCTTCCCTGGAAAGAAACAGACAAACGTGTGGGCAAGAACACGGTATTGCTGAGAAAGAGGGAATTCTGGCAACGGTTTTTCTCGGCGGCAGAAATTGACAAGGAGCGATGGGCTTCACTCCAGGACGCAATGGCTAGAGATGAATGCATCGTGGACATTACGTTCAAGGATCAATGGCAAGAGTTTGCCCCGATCGTCCAGGCGTCTCTGTCAAAGTGGGCGCCTTTCCAGCCTCAGTCACCACAATCAGCACACAGGCCCCAAACGCAAGGCCTGAATAGAGGGCTTTATAACAGGCGAGAAGGTAACGTGGTTCCTCCTAGAAGTTCTGGGCTCCGCAACGAAGTCCGTTGGTAGGACCAAACCCCATGGTGGCAGTTGGGGATCGTGTGGCAAATTGCCGAGTTGCAAGCCAAGATTGCACAGAGAAGAGAGACTGCATCATATGGCGAGGAAATGCAACGGTTTAGGACATGGCCCCCGGGGCTATGACACGGTATCCCTTAACAGTACAACGGTAGCGACTCAGAAAAATCCTAGACTGGAGTTAGAGCGAGTATTCCATAGCTGAATCTGATTTATCAGTGCTGACCCAGTGACCTACTCAGTAAGCCCCCATAGTGATTCACTACTAACCAAATGAGAGGAAAGACCAAAAAAAAAAAAGAGTACGTCAATGGGGACTCGAACAAAAGGCTAGGTTGAGTGAGGCTCGAGGACTTGCAAGTTAATGCATAGACTTCCCTATCATGCCCCTCAGCCACGTTCCCCCGACCTTTTATGGCAGAATTCGAGAAAAACAGGCCTCATTAATGCAAGCCTCCTTCCCAGGGAGTATAAAAGACTTGGACCATCAGATGAAAGAGGAACATTGAAGAAGAGTATGGGACGTTGTCAAAGGTGGGTCTGTCGGTGTGCCAGGCCAGAAGCCAGGTGAAGCTCGGTGAAGCCGGGGAAAAGGTTCCGCCGAGCTCCAGCTTCATCCCGCCAAAAAACAAACCCGCCCAGCGAACTTTTTAGAAGCCCGGTGCCTTGAGCAGCAGCAGCACCACTACCCCCGCCATCTCCACGGTTTCCTCTGCAACGGTGAAGCTCTTCGCCGATACACACATCCCCTCGACGACATCAATTTTTATCGAGTTTTTAAATTCGTCGTCGCACAATCATGCAGGCTCCAGTAGTGGTAATGAGTACGGCAGCCCCTCCTTCCCCAGAGCTCTGACTAGCTACCCCCCCATTATCACGATCAGGCACTAACTGCATACTCTACAGACACCGGCGCCGGTGAACGGCAGACGGGTCGCAAGGCCCAGATGTCCAACATCGCGGCTGCCAAGACGTACGATGCCCTTTCGAACATTCGATAGACATTCGCTAACTCCACCATCAGCGTCGCCGACATTATTCGATCATGCTTGGGACCCAAGGCTATGTTGAAGATGCTTCTGGACCCCATGGGCGGTATCGTCCTTACCAACGATGGCCACGCCATCCTCAGAGAGATCGAGGTCTCGCACCCCGCAGCAAAGAGCATGATCGAGCTCAGCCGGACACAAGATGAAGAGGTTGGCGACGGAACAACGACGGTCATTATTCTGGGTAAGCCCCTGAAAGCTATCCTGCTTATAAAGCCAGAAACTGACCTGGCTCAGCCGGCGAGATGCTTGCGCAGTCCCTCCCCCAGCTCGAGCGTAACATTCACCCCGTCCAGATCATTGCCGCTTTCCGCCGCGCGCTGAAGGACGCCCTCGAGATCGTCGACGACATCTCCCTCCCCATCGACGTCAACGACGACAAGGCCATGCGCGGCCTCATCTCCTCCTCTATCGGCACCAAGTTCGTCTCGAGATGGTCCGACCTGATGTGCGACCTGGCCCTCCGCGCCGTCCGCACCGTCACCTGGGAGGCCGGTAACGGAAAGACCGAGGTCGACATCAAGCGATACGCACGTGTGGAGAAGGTGCCGGGCGGTGAGATCGAGGACAGCAGAGTGTTGGACGGAGTCATGCTCAACAAGGACATTACCCACCCCAAGATGCGCCGAAGAATAGAAAACCCCAGAATCGTCCTTCTCGACTGCCCCTTGGAGTACAAGAAGGGCGAGTCGCAGACCAACATTGAGATTTCCAAGGAGGAGGACTGGAACCGCATCCTGCAGATCGAGGAGGAGCAGGTCAAGGCCATGTGCGAGGGCATCATCGCCCTCAAGCCCGATCTAGTCATCACCGAGAAGGGCGTCTCAGGTGCGTTTTGTCGTTGCTAGGTATTGGGGAACAAGGACTAATATGCAGCAGATCTCGCTCAGCACTACTTCATGAAGGCTAACATTACCGCCCTCCGCCGTGTTCGCAAGACGGACAACAACAGAATAGCAAGAGCGACGGGCGCCACCATTGTCAACCGCGTCGACGACATCCAAGATTCCGATGTCGGTACGCTCTGCGGCCTGTTCGAGATTGAGAAGATTGGCGACGAGTACTTCACCTTCCTCACCGGATGCAAGAACCCCAAGGCCTGCACAGTACTCCTCCGTGGCCCGTCGAAGGACGTGCTCAACGAGATTGAGCGTAACCTGCAGGATGCCATGGGCGTCGCCCGCAACGTCATGTTCAACCCCAGACTCTCCCCTGGCGGTGGTGCTACCGAGATGGCTGTCTCGGTGCGGTTGAGCCAGCTCGCGAAGGGCGTCGAGGGTGTCCAACAATGGCCGTACAAGGCGGTCGCCGACGCGCTCGAGGTTATCCCCCGCACCCTGGTCCAGAACGCCGGTGCCAGCCCTGTCAGAGTACTGACGGACCTGCGCGCCAAGCACGCCGAGGGCAAGCACTCGTGGGGTATCAACGGTGACTCTGGTGTCGTCGCCGACATGAAGGAGTACGGTGTGTGGGAGCCCGAGGCTATCAAGCTGCAGAGCATCAAGACGGCGATCGAGGTATGTCTACATTGGGTTTTACGACTTTTACTCCTTCTCCTCTCTGTCTTTGTTTTTACACGTTGTTCAACAATGCTAATACATGACTCACAGTCCGCCTGCTTGCTCCTCAGAGTAGACGACATTTGCAGCGCAAGAAAGGCGGCGCAAATGGGCAACGGCCTGCACGGAGGTGGCGATGAATGAGATGTCTGTTGACGTTAGTCGGATTTGGTATTTTTCATGACGAAGAGGTTGTTGCGATGAGAAGTGATGAAGATGAAAAAAAAAAGGTCATACCCCTGTATGGATGCATAGACATGGGATTAGAAATTACCTAGACGACTGAAGTTCTCGGGACATCTCCAAAGGACAAAAAAAGCTTTGATGCTCATGCTCTCATGCTCTCAATGCTCTGAAATGCCCCTCCCCTGCCTTGTTTTGGTGTCTCCTGTCTGTCAAATCAATGTTTAAGATGGCGCGGGACCCACCGAACATTTGGTGTTTGGTCTGAAGTTATTTTTGGTCACGCCAAGCTTATGTTCAAGCTTGAAAAAAAGCTCAAAGCTCGACAATCCCCCCTCCAGGCCCAGGGCCTCCAAGTTCCAACCACGGGACGATGAATCAGTCATCGTCGTGGATCACAATACCGGGGGGCTGAGCAGCTCCTGACGAGGTCGTCGCCGTTTCTGCGCCCTTGCTCGTGCCGTCCTTGTTGTCCTTGGCATCGTCATCCTCCTTGTTTGTAGATGTTCCCGTCGCAGCCCTTGCGGCAACACCACTTGACGAAGCGGTGGCGGCTCCTCCCTTTGCAACAGGAGCAGCAGCACCACCACCACCACCACCGGGACCTTTTTTACCCTTTTGCTTCTTCTTATCCCGCTTTTCCCGATTCTTCCTTGTGCGCTCCTCGTCCTTGGCAGCCCGCTCGGCCTTTTGGCGCTCAAACTCGTCATTCTCCTTTTCCTGTCGGACCTCGTCGTCCATGGCGCGCAGACGGTCGTATTCGCGGCGTCGGCTGGCCTTGTAGACGTGGAACTCGCCGGAGCCGGCGCCGGCGGAGGAACCTTGGACGTTTGTTACGATCTCGGGGGGCGCGGCGACGGCGCGTTTGGCTACGGTGCCGGCGCCGACGCCGACACCGGGAGGGAGACGGATCTCTTGGTCTGGTTTGGAGAAGAGGGTTTCGAGGTGTTTTGCGTGTTCGGAGACGGGGGTGAGGGCGCGTTTCTTTGTTGGGCGGCGGGAGCGGGGGTCCGCTGAGGTGGGGATTGATTCGGGGCCTTCGCCGGACATTTTCGGCTGCTGTTGCTGCTGCGGTTGCTGCTGCGGGTTCGGGCGTGGGCGGTTGCGTTGAGGAAGCTCGAGATTGGCGGGGGAGAGGTGTCGTATGATTGTGGGATGAGGCTGGATGTGGAATGGGCTGATCCGGGGTGAGGAACGCGGTAGGCCCGGGCTACGGGTGATTTGTGCTATGCTATACCGGATACGATGTGCTATGCGGACGGGCGTGCGGGAAGGTGCATGTGATGGTGGCCGTCTGCGTGCGTAGCTGAGCTGGGCTTTGGGATGCCGTCTTCCCCGGTCTAGGTAAGGTAGTGTGTGTGTGTGTGTGATTGTTGGAGTGGGTGATTGAATGTTTGGTGACTTGATGTCTGATTGCGAGTTACCACCAGAGATTGCGAGTTACCACCAGAGATCGCGAGATGGAGGCGCGCGGGCGCGGCGTGATCTAAGCGGGAAAAGATTGGCGCGCGGTGGTGTGGTGAGTTCCCGCGCTGGAAGTGGGCGGCTAGGAGATGGCCGGGGTGGTGGCGGCTGTCTGCTGTTTGTGACCTGCCTGTTGGTAAGAATCGGTAAGAGTCAAGGTACGTTTGCGGCGTGGTGTGCGATTGCCTGTTGGAAAGGCTGAGGAAATGAAGGACGATGATTGGGACAAGGTAAGTTGTGGGTGTGGGCGAGGTCGTGTGGATGAGGTGGGGAAAAGAATGAATATCGAATGACAGCGCTGGGAATGGGCGGTTCTGGCCAACGCGCCTAATCGGAGCATGCAGATGGGTGAACCACCTCACGCCAGACGTGGATGCGGATTTTGATTGACACGGCGGTCGTACGGATACACTTACCTTATTTTGAGTTTACCTTGGGTATGAGGTTGCAGTGAGGTTGGTTGTCAGGCGGCAAGTTGGGCGTGATGAGTGAATCACAATCACAGAAAGAGAAATTTGGTTGGGAAGACTGCAGCAACAGGAACTGCACAGCAACACATCCAACAAAATATATGCGGTTTGTTAACCGTCTGTTGGTTGGAGGTGCATTTTGGGGTGGCAGTTTTGCTTCACTTGGAATGTGGGCACTTTGGTTCTGCAGGTAAGACAGTTTTACCAGTGCCGGCAGACCCCGTTTCCCCTCCATTTATTAAAAATTCAATCCGTAAATGGTATGTCCATATTCGCAGACCCATTCATATGGAACTGACAAAATTTGAAAGCGTGAAAAAGAAAAAGAAAAAAAAAGCTGCTCGCAACTTGCAAAGTGCCATCGTGCCGCCGCACGGTGGGGCTTACAGCCTCGCCGCTTGTCGGAGGGTCGGTGCGCCAATCAGGGGCTGCGGATTCCCTGTCTCAAGGTGCCAGCTCGAGCCCTGCCTCTGACGTCTGGTTGGCTGACAGGGCGTTGAGATCTTCCGATGTACCCCGCTGTAGAGCGAGAGATGGCCGGGGGCCGTGGCCCGTTGGAACAACTTGGAGGGGGGGACGACCCTGCCTGTCTTTTCTCCCCCCCGCGGAACAAAGAGCCAGAAGTCGGGTTGCGTTGTCTCTGGTAAAGGTACCTACATAGTAGAGTGTGGATGGGTCTGTTTGACTGTCATTCATTTGGGTGGGACGAGGGGTCCTTTTCTCTAGTTTACCTCCTACAGGAGATTTGCGATTTGCGGCTTTCGGCTTGCGGCTTGCCATGGCAATGCCCAAAAATACCTGGCACACGAGGGGCAACACGCCGTCGATTGATGTACAGTCCTAATGCCCCCATGCGGGAGTTGATCATTGTCACCAATGGCGGCAGTGGCACGGCAAAGATACGTATCGCATGCATGCAGTGATGGATGTACCAGACAACCCAAGAGTCCCTGAGACTCACACCTCTCAAATGCCCCCCTCCAAAAAAAAACATCCCTGAGACTTCTCTCGCAATGACAGACATGTCCATTCCATCCCACTTAAACCACTCCTTGCTACGCCTTACGTTCCTTGCACCTTCAACCCAAACTCAACTCATCTCAACCTCTTCAACCTGTTGGTCGGAAACGTCTACACACTACTAAAGCAGGCTCTATCCCTCTCTCCGTCTATCTCTAAGGTTAAGGTTGGCATAAAGCGATACACGTACAACGGCAGCCCCATCCCAAGGTTTGCCTCTGCGACTAGCATCCGCCCACCGTCCACCACTCTCCTGCCTTGCCCCCGCCACGCCTCATTCTTTCCCCTACACTTCCATACCCTTCCTGGTCAACAAGGTTCCCAACGCTACGACTTTTTGCGACAAGACGCTCACGTCCATTTTGTTTGCACTGAGCTTTGTTCCTTTCTTTGAATGATACCTTATCCATCGAGGAATACATAATTTCTTGGTTCTTACAACAACAATAACCTCGTCCACCACACCGCCGTCTACTACATTGTCGACCACTTCACACAACTTCTGGGCGCCCGATTTCGATTACAAACCGGCAAATACACCCGTCACAACCCGACATCATGGTCAAACCGAGGCTCATCATCCTCATTCGGCACGCTCAGTCCGAAGGCAACAGTGCGACTCTCTCTTTCTTTCTCTACTCCCCTTGGTCCGAGATATCTCCGTTCGACCGGATTGCTAACCGATTCTGAATACGCAGAGAACCGAGACATTCACCAGACGATACCCGATCACCGAGTAAAATTGACACAAGACGGCTGGCAACAAGCCTACGAAGCCGGCCGCAACCTGCGCAAGCTGCTGCGCGCCGATGATACACTACACTTCTTCACCTCCCCCTACCGCCGGACTCGCGAGACCACCGAGGGTATTCTCTCGACGCTGACATCCGACGACGAGGACCCTTCGCCGTTCAAGCGCTCCAACATCAAGGTCTACGAGGAACCCCGCTTGCGTGAGCAGGACTTTGGTAACTTCCAGCCATGCTCCGCCGAAATGGAACGCATGTGGCAAGAGCGTGCCGATTACGGCCATTTCTTCTACCGCATTCCCAATGGTGAGAGCGCCGCAGACGCCTACGACAGAGTTAGTGGCTTCAACGAGAGTCTGTGGCGTCAGTTTGGCGAAAACGATTTTGCCAGCGTTTGCGTGTTAGGTATGTCGAACATCTTCGAACAGTTCGGTTTTGTGTGTTGCTAACTGTCCAGTCACCCACGGCCTTATGTCCCGAGTCTTCTTGATGAAGTGGTATCACTTTACCGTCGAGTACTTCGAGGACCTGCGGAACGTCAACCATTGCGAGTTCCTCATCATGCGCAAGCAAGAAGAGAGCGGGAAGTACATCCTCGAGAATAAACTCCGGACATGGTCAGAGTTACGCAAGGAGCGGGCCGAGTTGAAAGAGAAAGAGGACAAAGAAAGGAGTGAGATTGAGGGGAACCAGGAACGGCCCACCAAGGATGCCAAGAGCGGTACTCTTCTCGAACGCAGTAAGACCTTCATCGTCACGCGGCGCTGGGGTGGCTGTCCTAACGGGTGTGATCACAAGAGCCACTACCAGAGGCGAGACGACTTGGAAGCCCTTCGCCAAACGGACGAAGTCACCTCTAATGGGACCGTCGGCCTATCCCGTCGGCAGTCCCCTGCACCAGGACGGCGACCCGTTAAGCGATGCGAGCAGGGATACACATCCGACGAGGGCACCGACAGCGATGGCCGGCCACCGCAGATCGACGTCACCCGAGCCCGCCACGAGGTCGTTTCATCTCCCGATGGAACTCCATCCTTTATCTCTGCAGAGGATCGTCTACGGAGCATGATCTCGCCGCACCTCAATGTTGGCCGTGATTTTGGCGGAACCTTCTCCGGGCAGACCTCTATTGCAGGTAGTGACACAGACTCTTCCGAGGAGGACGGCCACAGACCAGAGATTACAGCCGTAGCCAAGATCAAGGTTGGCATTGTGTCTAATGGGGACAACAACGGTGTCAATGGCAGTATCAACAGCATCGTCGGCGGTCAGACCAAAGGAAACATAACACCAAGTACCGAGGACGAGCAGTCTGATGAGAAAAGCAGGCGTCGCCGCGCCAACCGTCTTGGTGACACCAACAGCAGCCACCGAGGCTCTGAAGCAGACGAAGAGGATATCGACGCCGCGGAGAAGCGAGACAGGAGCATCCTGGGCAGTGTTTACTGAAAAGTATGACGAAGGCGCCACACGGTGGCTTGTCAAAGGCCACACGAAGCTTTGTGGGGGTTTTGTGAAAGGCGCATCTACGGATATGGGACCTGTGCGGGAATGCGGCTTTTTCTTCTCCTTTGCTCATGAAACGATTGACATGCATGCGATTGGGGGTTCTTACGCATTAGACGGGCACGGGTTACTTCATCGATGGCGCCTTGGTTGATTCGTTGTTTGGCTGTTGGTTACGACACGAGGAGGATATACCTAGATTGCATGGTGCGAATAGACAAAACGGGCAGTAATGTCAATGCCCAAAAATTGAAATATCCAAGCGAACTTTGCCAACATGAATTGTCTCGTATACGTAAGATATCCCTGACAGAATCACTATCTCTGTTTGCAGTCTGAATTGTCTCTTGCTTACACCGACATGAATAATCTAGGGGTTCCTTGAAGTTTGAAGCGGTTGCCAAGAGGCGGAAAGTGGTTTCCACACTCTAATCACATTAGGAACTACCGTAATCGCGACCTTTCCAAGGCACTTATGATGCCGCAATCACTTACTCGACTACTGTGGCCTATTATCTGTTTTGTCAGTCTCGGAATCGTTTTAGTCTCCTCTCGAGGCAGGAATCTCCAGAGGCCTGAGTTCAGGAATCGTGTCAAGGAAAGTGATGGATGTGTCACTGGCTAATTCCAAATGATGAGATTGCCCAGAGGACTTCTTCGCTTTCAATAGTGTCTTGACCAGCTTGTCGATTCAACTGATATGACCGAGCTGAGCTATTACACATTTCCGATTCTTCTCCCCTAACCGCAACTACCACCACCTGAACTCCCAGCATTCCATACGCTATGCCGTCTCTCATCTCCTCGTACATCTGAATAGTGTACAGCCCAATTCGACTAC